GCAGGACCAACACCAACTAAATCATCCCAGCCAGGGCTTTGTCAAGCTGGGCCTTAAAAACCTCTAAGGATGGAGATTCCACCATCTCCCTAGGTAACCCACTCCAGTGCTTCACCACCCTCCTAATGAAATAGTGTATCCTAATAGCAAACCTAGACCTCCCCCACTGCAACTTGAGACCACTGCTCCTTGTTCTGTCATCTGACACCACTGAAAACAGCCGAGCTCCAGCCTCTTTGGAACCCCACTTCCGGTAGTTGAAGGCTGCTATCAAATCCCTCCTCACTCTTCTCTTCTGCAGACTAAACAAGCCCAGTTCCCTCAGCCTCTCCTCGTAAGTCATGTGCTCCAGCCCACTGATCATATTCATTGCCCTTTGCTGGACTCTCTCCAATTTGTCCACATCCTTTCTGGAGTGGGGGGCTGAAAACTGGACTCAGTACTCCAGGTGTGGCCTCACCACTGCCGAATAGAGGGGAATAATCACTTCCCTCAATCTGCTGACAGTGTTCCTACTAATGCAGCCCAACATGCCTTTAGCCTTCTTGGCAACAAAGGCACACTACTGACTCATATCCAGCTTCTCATCCACTGTAATCCCCAGGTCCATTTCTGCAGAACTCCTGCTTAGCCAGTCGGTCCCCAGCTTGTAGCGGTGCATGTGATTCTTCCATCCTAAGTGAAGAACTCTGCACTTCTCCTTGTTGAACCTCATGAGATTTCTTTTGGCCCAATCCTCCAATTTGTCTAGGTCACTCTCGACCCTATCCCTATCCTCCAGTATATCTACCTCTCCCCCCAGCTTAGTGTCATCTGCGAATTTGCTGAGGGTGCAATCCATCCCATCATCCAGATCATTAATAAAGATGTTGAACAAAATCAGCCTTGGGGCACTCCGCTTGATACCGGCTGCCAACTAGACATTGAGCCATTGATCACTACCCGTTGAGCCTGACAATCTAGTCAGCTTTCTATCTACCTTATAGTCCATTTATCCAATCCATACTTCTTTAACTTGCTGGGAAGAATACTGTGGGAGACCGTTATCAAAAGCTTTGCTAAAGTCAAGATATATCATGTCCACTGCTTTCCCAATATCCACAGAGCCAGTTATCTCATCACAGAAGGCAATCAGGTTGGTCAGGCATGACTTGCCCTTAGTGAATCAATGTTGACTATTCCTGATCACTTTCCTCTCCTCCAAGTGCTTCAAAATGGTTTTCTTGAGGATCTGCTCCATGAGTTTTCCAGGGACTGAGGTGAGGCTGTAGTTCCTCAGGTTCTCCTTCTTCCCTTTTTTAAAGATGGGTACCATATTTGCCTTTTTCCAATCATCCGGGATCTCCCCCGATCGCCATGAGTTTTCAAAAATAACGGCCAATGGCTCTGCAATCACATCAGCCAATTCCCTCAGCATCCTCGGATGCATTAGATCTGGACCAATCATGCACGTCAATCAGTTTTGTAAGGTCACTGAACAGCCAATTCTTTCTGTAAACTGTGTTCGCAATGGAATCCCCTGCAGCCTCCTTGTCCTCAACATCACTAGAAGGGGGCGAAGGATTCCGGTCCATTTTTCAGAAATCCAGCAGGATCTCTGGACCAGAAGCTTTCCAGCAATCCTGATTCTCTAGAAACAGAGATGACCAGGCAGTGACTCCAGGCAAGAGCCAGCAGCATCCCTGTCCCCACCAAACCATGGGAGGGTCCCCCACAGCCACAACCTGTGTCCCCTTCCTCACCACAGCATGAACTCCTTATCCCACATAGCACTGATTCCTCCTTCCATCCCATCTACTCTCTCTAAACCCAGGTCCCTACCCCACCTGGACACCCCCTACACAGAGCACCGGCTCCCCTGACCTCCGCCCATGTACCTAGACTCCACAGCACACACGACCCCCGGGGAACAGGCTTCCCCGTCCCATGTACTCAGACCACACACACCACCAGCTCCTCCACCCCAGGTACACAGGCCCTACAGCACACACACCCCAAGAAGTACCGATTCCCCCACCCTACCCAGGCAGCCACTGGTCTGGGAGTGCCGGGCCGGGGCAAGTGACTCCGCCCATCACCTGGCGAGGCAGAGGCATGGTGTGTGGCGGGGGGCACCCGGAGCAAGCGCAGTCCGCTCCCTCCACTCCTGCTTGGGGGCTCAGCTCCTCACGCTGCTGTGGGGATGGGAGCAGCTTCTGAATCAGCCCCAGCTGGACTCGCTGCTCAGCTGCACAAGCCCACCCGCATCTAAAGGACATTCCCCCAGCCTTGTGGGAGGGACCACTGGACCCGGGATCCAAATGAATTCTTGGGACAACTAAGGAATAACAGGGACAGGAGTGGAGGCCACAGGTTCAGAACTAGGGATCCAGAGGGCGACACCAAGCAGAGAACCCCAGACAGCACCCATTGCTCCTAAAAGCTGCCTAAGGAGCCAGCAGACGCTGCCCAGAGGAACTTTGCCTGGATGTGTGAGATCAGGGAGGAGTGGAAATAGGCCCCACAGTAACAGAGTACTCCCTTATCTAGCATCCTCATCCTGGTGTTGTAAATGGACACTTTGGCCAGCACCAGGAGGAGGTTGATGACGAGGTCTCATTCATAAGGCCACAGAAAGGGTGTGACTATATGACGAGAGGTGGGGAAAAGTGCATCCAGAACCACAACAGGAGGTTCTGGAGGAGCCAGAATAGGGACTGCAACCTGGCACATACGAGATAAGCATGCGCCAGGTTCTGCCTCATGCCACAAAAGGGTAGATGTCAGGAATGGGGGCGAACCATGCCAGGTACACCCCCGTGCTCCTGGCTCCATGAAGGAGCCGCCAACCGGTATCCCCAGTGGGATGTTGGACAGAGGTGGAAAGAGTCTGGCCCACCAGGGTTCCTCACCGTCTACAGGTGGTAAACAGTCCTGCCACTTGGCATCGGGGTGGGACACGAGGGTGAGGAAATTAAATGTGTGGAGCACGAACGTGTATAGTTGTTCCTGTGGTGCGGTTCAGCAGCGAACCAGTTGCAGGGCACACAGCCAAGTCGAAGTATAAACAGGAGGGTGCCAAGGGACTCACAGGTCAGGGGCCCGATGAAAAGGTCCGGAGGGTCAGGGGTGAGCAGGGAGCACTCTCCCGGAGGACCCACTCATGGAAAGTCTGAGAGGTGGGCAAGAAGGATGCCCCCACCTCCAGGAGTTCGTGCAGGATCTGAAGGATGGAGAGCCCCCTGCACTGACCGGCACTTGGGGATCCACCCAGTGCCTGCTGTCATAGTCCAGGAAGTGTCTGATTCTGGTGGTTTCTGCCAGGACCAGCCTCCAGCGCACTGAGGGGGACTCTGCCACTGCACACGAAGGTGGGGGTTGTGTAGCAGGGGCACCCCGAGAAGGTCCGCGCCCTCGGTGGCCACAACGGACCCGGTCGCAGAGAACAGCTTCCAGGTCCGGAGCAGGCAGAGGTGCAGCTTGGAGACAACTCGCTGAAGACCCCTTGGATGGAGAAAAAAAGAGCTGCCAGTCGTCTCGGGGCCCTCGGAGGCGGCGGATTATTGAAACAGGCTCCCCCGCACCGCCATGTACCCACAGCCCGGCCTCCCACAGACCGACAGCGCCTCACCCACCCCACAGCGCCCCCTGCCTGCAAGAAATTGTAAGATTTTAGGCCTATTGACTACGCACTTTTACCCTAAAAATTGAGGAAAGGCCTAAAAAATTATTTGAGCAGAGTCATGCTAAGAACCCCCCACTGCATGCTGCTAAATTCTTTGATCTTTTGTTCAAGAGTGGGACTAGGGGTAATTAGTGTTGTTGCAGCTGTGTTGCTCCCTGAATATTAGAGACACAAGGTGGGTGAGGTAATAATGTCTATTTTTGGACCAACTTCTGTTGGGGAGAGAGACAAGCTTCCGATCTGCACAGAGCTCTTCCTCAGGACTGTTAGGCTGACATGAAGAAGGGATGGGTCACTACAAAAACTAATTTCCCTGTACTAATTTCACCCTACTGTTACTTACACCTTCCTGTCAACTGTTTGAAATGGGCCACCCTGATTACTTTGGCCTCATTACCACTACAAAAGTGATTTTTCCTCCCTTGGTATTCTACTTTGAGAATAGCCCACTTCCACTTCAATTGAATTGTCTCATTAGCACTGACCCTCCCCCCCCCGCACTTGGTAAGGCAACTCTCATCTTTGCATGTACTGTGTATATACCTGCCTCCTGTATTTTCCACTCCATGCATCTGATGAAGTGGGTTTTAGCCCACGAAAGCTTATGCCCAAATAAATGTGTTAGTCTCGAAGGTGCCACAGGTACTCCTCGTTGGTTTTGCTGACACAGACTAACACAGCTACCACTCTGAAAGCCAAGATTCCTCTGACCTCAGACGGAACAGAGGTTCTACCCACCTGACAACAATAAATATATACTTTTAAAACTTAAGCACCATCACTGCTTATTAAAGTGGACCCAGACTCCCAGCCCCAAAGAAAATGTGTTTTCATCTTTTCATTTAAAATGTTAACTTTCCTCCTGACCTGCCCCACAAATTTCTGTTTTTGCCATGATACCTAAACCTTTGCAGGGTGGTTTTTATGCTCCCAACTAATTAGCCAGGTAGGATGGTCTTATGGTTAGAGAACTGGACTCCATTCCTAGCTCTGCTATAGACTCCCCTGTGATGTTAGGCAAGTCAATTAACATCTCTCAGATCCCTGTCTGTAAAATGGGGACAACACTAAAAAGGAGAATTTTCATAATGGATCACAATAGTCCAGTAGCCTGTCTGTGACAGTGGCCAGTGCCCGCTGCTTCACAGGAATACGCAACAAATCAAGTAAAGAACAATCGTTAAATAATCTGGAAGAATCTTCCAAATCCCGGGCAGTTAAGGGTTACCTTTGGCCCCAAATCATGAAGATTTGTATGTATATTGCTTTTTATCCTTTCTAATGTAGCTGAGGATGTTTGTTCATTCACTGAGAGCTTCAGAAATTTAAGGTTTTATTTATTGTGGTTTTGCACAGCTGGTAGAAAAATGGAACCATTGTAAAGTATTACAGGCTGCATTAGTATTTCGAGGGAAGGCCCTCTGGTCTGTAGTGGTTTGGGTCTCCTCCACTTCTGCCCCATGCATTTGCCTCCTGGTCTTGACGTGTGTCTTCGGCTCCTCTGCCGCTAACGTCACTCTGCCAACCTTCCCTAGCATCACTGGAAAGAGGAAACAAAGATTATTTTAGACAGTTTATTATTAAATCTCAATAACTAAATTATTTACTTTTCACTTTTTCCCCAGTTTAATCCCTACTTTTCCATAAAACTGAGGACACGCACAAATACCTCACCAACAGAAGTTATTCTAATAAAATACATTAGCTCGCCTACCTTGTCTCTCACACACACAGACACAAATCTTAGCCTGTCTGTGAGTAGCATCGGTCATCCCAGAAGTGCATCAGTCCAGCAGTTGTGAATTAAAAAGCTTTCCCATTACTTGCCTCCACTAAGTTCTGCCTACTCCTCATAAGCTCCTTTGTATCACAGTCATCACGTTCAACAGCAATATTTTAAAACAATCCTCATTAGAGGACTGTAAATGAACCATTGATCATAGTTTTCTTGGATGAAATACCCAGAGCAATATATACCAGTTTTAGATTAAAGTGAGGTCCTGCAATTATTTAAGTTTTAAAAGCCCTGTGGTGAACACTTCAGCCTCCTGGCACAAAGTAATGAGATCTGATATCAGAATATATCTAAATAGATCAGTTTAGAAATCACCTTTACAACTCATGAATGGGCACGGTCTTCACACTTAGCCGGTTCAGAGGTTAAATAAAAATGTTCTCGCTTCGAACAGGACAATAACTAGTTATGAATTACAATGTACTTCATAGTTATTTGATTGCATAGCTCTTTATTGACATTTAACTCATAATCCAAGTGGAATCCATTACCTAATAACTTTTGCTGCCCATTTACCGCCGGGCCCTCTTTGGGCAGCATCATAATTCCCACGAGCATGGAAATATTTATCTGAATTTTTATAATTCGCCTCCCTCATGTCGCGGTATGCACGCCACATATCCCCAGCGCCTGGAGAAGAGAGAAAGGATTATAGAGACGCTGCAAAATTTAAAAACAACACTTTGAGGTTATTCCACCACATTCCTCTGAAGTCGTCAAGCACCATTCTTCTCACTTCCCCACTGTGGCTTCCAAGTATAGTACTTCTAGAGAAGGCAGAAAGGCTCCTATATATCGCTAAGTAAACTCTGATTTTTTTGAAAAAGAAAAGGAGTACTTGTGGCACCTTAGAGACTAACCAATTTATTTGAGCATAAGCTTTCGTGAGCTACAGCTCACTTCATCGGATGCATACTGTGGAAACTGCAGAAGACATTATATACACAGAGACCATGAAACAATACCCCCTCCCACCCCACTCTCCTGCTGGTAATAGCTTATCTAAAGTGATCACTCTCCTTACAATGTGTATGATAATCAAGTTGGGCCATTTCCAGCACAAATCCAGGTTTTCTCACCCCCCACCCCCATACACACACAAACTCACTCTCCTGCTGGTAATAGTTCATCCAAAGTGACCACTCTCCCTACAATGTGTATGATAATCAAGGTGGGCCATTTCCAGCATAAATCCAAGATTAACCAGAACGTCTTGGGGGGGGGGTAGGAAAAAACAAGGGGAAATAGGCTACCTTGCATAATGACTTAGCCACTCCCAGTCTCTATTTAAGCCTAAATTAATAGTATCCAATTTGCAAATGAATTCCAATTCAGCAGTTTCTCGCTGGAGTCTGGATTTGAAGTTTTTTTGTTTTGAGATAACGACCTTCATGTCTGTAATTGCATGACCAGAGAGATTGAAGTGTTCTCCGACTGGTTTATGAATGTTATAATTCTTGACATCTGATTTGTGTCCATTTATTCTTTTACGTAGAGACTGTCCAGTTTGACCAATGTAAATGGCAGAGGGGCATTGCTGGCACATGATGGCATATATCACATTGGTGGATGTGCAGGTGAACGAGCCTCTGATAGTGTGGCTGATGTTATTAGGTCCTGTGATGGTGTCCCCTGAATAGATATGTGGGCACAGTTGGCAATGGGCTTTGTTGCCCAAAAATGGCCCACCTTGATTATCATGCACATTGTAGGGAGAGTGGTCACTTTAGATAAGCTATTCCCAGCGAGGAGAGTGGGGTGGGAGGAGGTATTGTTTCATGGCCTCTGTGTATATAATGTCTTCTGCAGTTTCTACAGTATGCATCCGATGAAGTAAGCTGTAGCTCACGAAAGCTTATGCTCAAATAAATTGGTTAGTCTCTAAGGTGCCACAAGTACTCCTTTTCTTTTTGCGAATACAGACTAACACGGCTGTTCCTCTGAAATCTGATTTTTTTGGTTCAGTGGAAGATCTGAGAAATCCAAAAAAGAAAGACTGTTGAGTTACAAACCAAAACTGATTTGTTAGGGTTTTTCTCATCAGAATGAAAAAAAAATTGTTCAGGTTGATTTGAATAGACATTTCTGCAGCAAAATGTCAGAACAGCTCACTGTGAAAATTATCAGTTTTGAAATTATTTTTGACCAAAATTTGCCAAAAGTTGCAGTGTCCCCCTGAAATGCATTTTTTGGTTAATTTAATATTTGCCAAAAAAAAACCTGCCCAACTTTCTTTGGTACCCAGGACTCCCATTAGAGATACATGGATTTGCAGCTATTTATGCTATTGTATTAGCTGAAGCTTCCACCAGGTCACATCTTTGGAAGAGGAAATGAAAGGGAGTTCCCTTGAGAAGGATCTCATAAAAACATGGAATCTCAACAAAACTCTGTTGTAATATCTTTGGGGAATTCTTTAGGGACAAAGAAACCCTCAAATTTCTCTCAGTGCTCTTTTAAGACTCACCAGGACAATGGAGTAGAGCTATGATTTAGAAACATGATTTAGGAATAAGGGAAGTTCAGCACCTTGCAGAAGATGCTCATTCCTGTAGTGCTGAATCAGGACCCAAGTTATCTGACCCCAGAAACGTTTCCGGGAAGGGGAAGGAAAGCTTCTGAAAATATTCAACCAACATTTACAGTATATTAGATTTCCTTTTCTGAGAATTGGCATACACCTCTCACAAAACCAAGAACAAACAAATAAAAGGTACCCATTAGTTCTCAATGTATTAATATGCCTCCAGATTTTACTAGACCCACTGAGATCCACATCAGGAAAGTGCAGAAGTTAAAGTCACAACATGGTCAGCTGGGTGCACAGGTTGCAGTTAAACATCTTGCTAAATGTTAAGTGAATCTTGTCTGGTGAAAATATCTGTTTAGTTATGACCCATAATTTGTACTATGGCCCATACCTGCCATCTGATTGGCTCTGGTTCAGCAGCCTTGTGCTTGGACTCCCAATGAGGGACCTAAAACTGCATCACTTTAAGGGATCAGGAAAAAATTCTAATGTATCTTTTTGTGAAGAACTGAGTAAATTTCTTATTTATCAAAAATTGGTCTAGAACTCCTGTCTGCAGCTTGGCTTTGTGGGGTTTTTATTCCTTTATGACTTTTTTTAATATGTACACCGTGCTGAGGACAGTTTTGATGAAGAACAAACAGTTAGTAAAAAGCATACCTCGATAAGCATCCCTTATGAATGATCCAGCATCAGTGAACCAGTTCTGGGCACTGACACATAGTACCAGGGACAACAACAACATGCAGTTGTAGAACTTCATAGTTCACTTCTTTAGGCTGTAATAGAAGGAGAATATATGTCAGAAAACTGGTCAATCTTTTAAAGACTCCAGACGTAATGTAAATTCCTCTTATATCGGCTTTGGAACAGGTACATGGATCTTCAGGGTCACACACAATTTAGAAGAGTTCCAAAAGTGATGATTTCAACTCAGAAAAATGAAATGCCCTCTGCCATCACAGCACCAGGCTGGGACATAAGTTGTAAATATAGAAGTTTTTGTTTCCGCTTAAGTTTTTACATCATAAAAATCACCAGTTCTAAGACAAAAATTGAATACACAACAAGGTAAAGTGGTACAAATATGAAGTTTCCATATGGAATGAAACTTACCACTGCTGTATTGCAAAGCCCCGGAAAAATGGAGTCCTTTCTGATGGATTCTCACAAGAAAAATGGTACTATATTTATAGGAAGCCTTATCTCAAAGAGCAAATTGGAAATAGTTAACAGAAACCTGACTAAATTCAAATTGGGCAATTCTTTGCTTGTTGAACGCAAACAAACATTGCTTCTGTTGGGAATTTACTGCAGTAAATTCCCTTATTTCTTCTTGAGCCTTCCCAATTTCAATTCGTCACGGTCTGTATTGTCTCTCTATTTATCCAACGATCAATTACTTAACCAGTGCCTAATATGATGAAATGTCCATCATTTACTGGAAGTTGCAGGCAGCCACTTTTTCTGACTTGCTTCTAATTTTTTGTAATGACTGAAATGAGTGTAATATTTTATGTGAGATTTTTATGCCGAAGTTTTAAGTAATCATCTTGCATGTACGATAGACACCAAATCAGTTTTATCCTCATCTGTAATTGTAATTAGGGGTTCACACAAGAGATGCCACAGGTAGCTGGAGAAGCCTTTGCCATCAGCTTATAGGGGCATGAACCATCTTTTTGTACTGTTGGTACAGTGCCTAGCCAATGGGTCCTGCTCCATGACTTGGGCTCCAAGAGGCTATGGTAATAGAAATCAATAATAAAACAAATGACCAGAGCTGGTCAGAAATGGGATGTCATCTTTGTAGACATTTTCATTTTTTCCCTTTTAAATTTAGATGGAAACTTGTCAAAATTTTGAACAACATCAACGAGCTTTGATTACCACCATTATGACCTCAAAAGGGAGAGGTTAATTTGTCTGAATAGCGGTTAACTTATTGTGTAGCTGTTGGTAAGATCTAAGCCATAAGCTAGGTGCAGTTATATGAAGAGTTATAAAAATATATTTTAATTCAAAATATTACCAGTGGATTGGAATAATCAGCTCTATCTGGAATTCAGGGTACTTTGTGAAGTGTTTTCATTTTTGATAAATAATCTGAACTATCAAAATTGTATTTAAATGAAGTAAATACGGTTTACATTCTCAGATCAGTGCATGGGCGATAATATGTAAAACTCCTTTTGATTCTAGCTGGAAAGATGCAGGTAAATATCTGCTAGTTCAGGTCAGACTTTGCCCTCTAAAGTTTGTAAACTGAACAGCAGATCTTGTAAATGGTCAGTGTGGTTCTTATGGGAATGTAATCTGAATAAAGTCATCATGACTGGGAAAGTGTTGTGAAACCAGTGCTAAATCAGTCCTGCTCACTAGCCCAACAGAATGCTATGACTTGTAAACACAACAGACCGTAGCTGTATTGTCCATGCTCAATGCTCTGTTGACCAATCTGGTTTTGAGCTTCCTGGAAGCTTTTGGAAGTGTCTACATTCAACAGTAACAGCCTTGACAGCAAAATGACATGTTAGGCTGAATCGTGTAATTTTATTTTAATCTTACTCATTTTATTCCCATGAGCATCTACACTTTTCTAGACAAACTCCAACTAGTTCTTTAAAAAAGGGAAAGATTACTCCTAGGTCGTGTTATCCTGGAGAGCATTTACTACTTGTAGTAACAAAGCTGCAGAGATTGAGAAGCTCAGTAGACCCTGAACTACAACTGCATTTTCCCCTAGATGAACTGAACTATGGTAAATCTCCACCTTTGATACCTGGAATTGGAAACAATTCTGGTTTCAAGGGGCAGGAGAGAGCCACTTTGTTTCCTAAATTATGTGACTCCATCTTTTTGAAAACCTTGCTGTAATACATTAGTTTTTCAGACCCTCTATGATCTGCCTACCAGAGACATTGCACATCATCATTTAAAGTAGCGGTGGGTTGTATAGCTGGAGCTCTCCTAACAGCGGTATTTAAGGTTATCAAAATGTTTCCTTTAGCCCTCTTTTCATTCACTCAACATTCTGAAAACACTCAAGCTTCTGGACTGAAATTTTACAGGCCTGGTCTACATCCAAAAAGAAACATTTTTTAAAAAATTTGAAATGAAAATCGATTCTGTACATTTTGTCCTTTTGTAACAAAAAAGCTTGAAGGGCGATATGACTGGAGTGAACATTTGGTAAGAAAAAAGGAAGTTCCTTGTAACAATACTTTGGATTTGGCAGGCATGAGGGTTTAAGAATCTCACCTTATCTTTAAACACTGATTGGTCTGATGTTTTGGCCCTTTTTAACAGATTTCATAAGGAAGAGTATGCTGCTGTGGCTAACTTTGCCATGCAGCATGCCAGGCAACTACCTTAGGACCTGCACAGTTAGAAGTGTAAGCAGTATGAAGCAGAGTGCTGGGAATTTACAATATCATGCAGACAGCCCTTTAATATTCCTCAATCTTAAAAGCTTCATGTATTCCGAGTATAAAGTTGTCCATTCAGTAATGTGCATAATTCAGTGAAATTCAGGGTTGTTCTTACAGAATATGATTTCTTTTAAAAGCTTAAATGCCATAGCTTTCTAAAGTTCTTAAACCTACACAGGCAAAAATCAGATTCCACAGCTGTTTGCATTGCAGTGTATATAATCACATCGTTGAAAACACTCTCAAAGAACGCAATTATTTCTACAATCTTGTAGGAGGAGCAGAGAGTGATGTAGGGCCCTGGCCTTATTAGCTGTACATCTTGTGTATAAACTATTTTCACAAACTGCATCTGTGACTTACGGATTGTACACAGTGATAAAAGTGTCACACAGGTGTCTAAGGCCATCAGAAAAAATGGCATAATATACAGTGTTACCAAAAGTTGGACAAAGTATTTGAGGGCGATATAGCGATGCATACATGCACATAAACAGTGTTAAGGCTGCACGTTCAATTTTAACGTTTACATTGAAACATACTGAAGTCAGGAAATGCCAAGTCTTTATTGCTCTGACTGGAGTTTTTTTAAAAGGTGTTAGTGCAGGGAACACACCTGACACTGAGACCACATGCACGAGCCACAGGTGCATGAACCCCTTGAATGGCTATAGTCTTTTTCATCTACAAATCTCCAAGCATTTTACACAGGCAGGTAAGTATCTTCAGTTTACAAATAGAGAAACTGAGGCACAGAGAAGTAATAGATTCAAGGCCACAGCACTCACTGGTAGAACCCATTTCTATGGATTCTCAGTGAAGTTGTCTTATCTATTGAGACCTACTACGCCTCACTCAGAGGATATCCAAAAGGCTGGGCTTATTGTGGAAATTTGGAAGTGAGCCTGAGCATTCCAGTAAGACAGATGATTAGGGTATCTAATGAGGAAATGTACAGTTTCAGTCACCGATCAAGAAAGACCTTTCAATTTGTCCAGCAGAGGACAGCTAAGCATCAAAATAAAGTGTTGTCCTCATGCTTGCAATATTTGACAGTTGGGCTATTTTGTATATTTTTCCTCTGTGAAACAATGTACAAAAAAGTAAATTCACTTCGGTATTATTTAAACTACACCTCTTTTGACCAACATATCTGGATTCTTGTCTTGACACGAAAACCACTATACAGACCATCTTACTCGTAAGCCAAGTGACAGGATTTCACAAAGTATTAGCCAATGTGGAAGAAAAACGCAGTCTACACTCTTGGGTTGTTTGTAACAAGTCAGAGACAGTTTATTCTCGAGCAATTGCAAGGGGGAGAGCGTGCACAGACAGGGATTCCCCCTTCCTAGGCAGGTCTCCGCCAGATAAACAATTAGGGCAAGCATTTATACCTTTTGTTGCATACAATAATGATCAACAGCCATGTCTTGTTTATACATATTCCTTCCTGATATCTTACTTTTTTCAGCAGTTCCTGCTACAGTCTGCGTTCCATTCTTATCTAACACAAGGTCAAAACAGCATCTCTTGCAGTCTTCCCACTCGCTTCCCACTTGCCCAGGCCCTGACTTAAAGTCTTGCATTATTAGAGTTAGCTCTATTCCTAAGAAAACTAAGATGTCTGCGTTCAGATTCCCTTTATCCCTTTTTCCACTTCCACACCAAAAAGGTTAAACACAAGTGTTAAATGGCTCATAACGTATCTGGGTGACGGACTTCCCTTTCTTATGCTTGCAGGTGTGCAACTGCAGCATTTCCTAGGATGAAGTCACAATGTGTTCATGTATTCTTCACATCTTATTCACGTATAAATAAGGAAATTCAGACTAAGTCTAAACACTTTTCTTTTTTATTGAAATCTCTTAAAATTAGTTGAAACCATGAATACAAGTTTATTTTAGGTGCAATAAACTTAAATATTGTTGTTGAACTGGTTAATATGAACAGCGCTATGCAAAAGGAAAAACAAGCTCTTTGAAAGAACGTTTGTAATATATCGTAAAAGTCAGCATTGTTAATTGTGCGTTTTAAAATAAAGGTTATTATGTACACAAAGCTTTCAGCTGTTTATCCTCTAAACTGAAAATATTTCACTAGACTTTTGACAAAGAGCATTGATTATGTATTTTCCTGAGACAGATGATTCTTCCACTTATATAGATCTTTACTTCTTTGAAGTGCTGTATAAAACTGAACTAATTAATTCTAACACCCACATGAGGTAGAAGTGTTCTCATTGCAGAGGTAGGGAAACAGGCACAGAAAGGTAAAGTGATTTGTTCTAAGCCTCATGGCATATCAATACCAAAGTTAGGACGACAGAGGACTACCTGACTTCCAATCCTTTTTACACCTATGATAAATAAGACATGGTGTGCCTGAAGGTATAGGATGGCACATTTGTGCTGTTTTCCCAACTTCAGCTGAAAATCTCAACCCCAGGAAAAACTAAAGTTGAAAGAGGACGTTTCGTTGGCTTTTCAGAGACAGGAACCTTAAGGTTTGAAATTCCTGCCACTGGGCCTATTTCTGTAGACATTTATTCCCACACCAGAAGAGTTATGAAACACTCCACCATAAGGGAGTGACTCGTACTAACAATTGAGACAAAGAGGTTACCCATCCAACTGTAGTTTTATATATCAGACCAAACTTCACAGATAAAATTCACATTGACCAAAAAATAATTAAATTTTAAATAAAATAAAAACAAAACCATTAATTTGGAATGCAGCAAACCATGGAGACAAAACTATATATATATATAATATATATATATATTTATATATATATATATATATAAATATATATTTTATATATATATATATATATATATATATATATATATATATATATATATATAAAACATATAAAGGCTCTTATTTCAAAGGGATACTGTCAAATAAATTTACTCACAAAATGTTGGTGTACGAGGGAAAAAATGACAAATTTTTTTATTGGGAGTTAGTTCTTTGGGGTTTGACTACTGCCTAAATATTATAGGATTGTGCTAGTAAATGAGGCTCTAAATTGAAATAAGCTAAAACCAAAAGTAAATCTCACTTGTCTGTTTTCACTATCTAAGCTCTAGGAAGTTCACAGAGTAAACAGAATAGGTATAAAGCTAGTTTTTGCAAATGATTAAGTAAAACTGGGTGTTTTAAATATTCAGTTTTAATAATCCAATGTTTATCTTAACAGAGGTAAAGGTTTTTAAAAAATATGATTCTTAACTTGACAGCCTCCCTTTAAAATACTTTTTTTAAGGCAATTTCAGATAAAAAAAAAAGTATGCAGTTACATCATTTCTTCCAAAAAGATCAAAAATCAGTTTTGAAATATTGACATCTAAAGATATGTTCATTGTGTGGTAATTTATCTGAAGATGACCTCATGACAGATTCATACAATTTACGAATGCTGTGTTTACACTTCTTTTCAGTGTTCTATTAATAAATGAGTATTTCAAAGATTTAATGCATATTTCAACACTATGCAATGAATACCCCATAACATTATTTTACATAGCTCTTAAGATAAAGATGTAGCTATTCCAAGAAATAAATCAAAAGAATAGATATTCTATACAATTAAGGAAAAATCTGCATTCTTGCATGGATTCACTGCAGCTATTGGCATAAGTGAATGTCAGAAGGGGAAAACAGTTTGGGTGAGTCTTAACATTTACCAGCAGGGGCTGCTCATGCTGGCAGTATACACAGAATTAATCTGTTTGAAATTTACGTCTTAACCAACCCACAGAAAAGCAGCTGAAGTCAAAATACACTATTTTCAAACATAATTTAATGTTCAAAAGACTGTACTTTTAACCAACTGTTTTAATTCATGCAGAGTTATTACCAAGTTCATTCAACACTTTTAATCCTATTGTAAAAAAAACAAATCTGTTAGACACTTGTGGTCTTAATTTCAACATAAACATTGGAATATTTCAACCTAACAATTTCTAAAACCAGTTTTAGAAGCACGTTTTAAACTATTTAGGAAGAGTTGTAGAAGAAAACCCAATTCAGGTGCTATTTTCATGCAGTGTGGCTGCATACATTATTGTGTGGACAAGAGTTTGTTTCTTTAAGAGACGATGAAACTTAAGAGGCAATTTAATGTAGAAGATGCACAGTACACAACTTCATTTCAGTGTTTCCTGGAATATTTGCTATGCCTGCTGAGACCACAGAAAACGGTCACACCTTTCCAACATGGACTGTATCAGGGCTCTACAGACAAAAGAGAAAAAAAATCCAACGTATTAGTTACCTAATTTGCTGGACACTAGCTTTTAGAAAGAGTTTAAACTGTCCGATGTAGAGATAAATACTATTCCGTTTCAGAGAGAGCCCTATCATGCCCCTGCCTTTAAAGATTTTTCACTGACCTGAATAGACAGCATGAATGATAAACCGTAAATAATAGAAAATAGAAGATACCAGGGTTTTTTTATTTTATTTTGTATTTAATGCTAGCATTTAAAGCTTCCTAGATTCCAGGCCTTCACTCTTGCTTGTAACCACCCCTCAGGATTGGTGTAAGAGAGATTGCAATAGGACCATTTCAAGTGCCATCTTCTAGAACTTAATTCATTTAATTCCAAAACCTCTTATGTTTTTCCATGCATGCTTTTTTTCCGTAAAGGAGTTAAATAGTGTATTTGCAGGTGAACTACTTCAACAGCAACAGCTGCAGTGTAAGTAGACTCAAATCCCAAATACTGTAATGTCTCACTGCACTATTACAGCATTTATGAAGCAGCCATCAGAGCAGTCTAGCTATAGGAGGATGAAGTACAGGTGAGGAGTTTCTGAGTTCTTCAGCAGTGGACTTTTGATAGTTTAGTCATTTACCTCTCCCCCCCGCCTTTTTTTAAACATTTATTCTGAATATATTTTCTGTTAATACATTTTTCATTTTTAAGCTACAGATCTCAAATATACCTCTTAAATTGGGGACAGAAGTATTTTCAGGTAGTTTTACTACTCTGTAACACTGTTTAAAAACTCTTGGAGCTGAAGTCTGAAGTGTTTTCACTTTTTTTAAAATTTAATGAAAGACAAAACTATGGCCTAGGATGGCACTGAGTGAAGTATCAATACAGTTCTCTCTCTCTCTATACACACACCCCCCCATCTTACCTTTGCCTTTTTTCAGCAATTCTCAGTATTTCACAGATCCTGGTAAATCTCTCAGAGAATTCAGCCGTCAAATCACACTCCTGCAGTACTGGCAAGGCACGATCTGGGCCAATTACCTTAGCCAACAAAAGAGCTACATTTTCAACAGTAATGCAGTTTGACCAATTAGTGCTACCATGGCCGATATTATTCCCATTCTGTGTACCATGATAGTGGAGGTCAGTGCTGTGACTTTGTGCAAGATGGAGAAGGAACTTCCATTCTTCCACGGTCTCTGGAATTGAGCCTAAATGCAAAATTAAATGACTGGCTGTAGTTATCTGTGAGGAAAAAGCTTGTAGCAACCTAATTTTACATCTACTGGCATTTAAAAGAATGCTAGTTTTCTAGAGTCAACTTTCTACATTCATATCTTAGTTAAATGGCTTAAAATGCATTTGATTTTTTGACAGTCACACAAAACATTTTCAAGTGTACCGGAGCTAATTGTATACCACTAAAAACAGCTTTTTCATAGCCATTGTTGAGATTTTGGATTCAACTAAGAGCGAAAGAGCTCCTTTGTGTGTCTTTTTAGTATATTGTAGATTTTCCCTGCAATTCTGCCATCTGATACAGAAACTGGCTCACTATATTCTAGAAAAGCCACGAGATAGTGCTAGTGAATTAGCTGATCCTTCAAGGTACTGGGCAACAAAAACTCAGAGGGAAAGCTGGAGCCAAAAAATCCGATTAAAATGTCAAGAGATTTGAACCACTCAAAATGAGACTGTGATTTTTATTTATTTATTTTTTAGAACACTGCTGTTTTGTTGGAAGACAAGAATTAAACTACAAAGAGCGTCACTGATTTATACACTCAATTATATTTATGCTGTACAATATACTATATGAAGTTATACAAAATGCTAAGTGATCTTGCTACATCAGTGCTTAAAAAATACATCATTCAACTCTCGATAAATGCTTCTCTATATTTAAATGGTAATCAGTACATAGTCAATATAGATCATGTATTCTACTGGTGCGCTCACGAGTTAAGATTCACTAACCATGTTCTCCATCCAACAGGTTCATATCATCCAAATGAACAATATTAGTAAAGACTTCTATTCTTCTATCCAGTTCCAAACACAGAGAGAGATATCCAGGCCAGAAGCTTAAAAAAAGATTAAAATTTCCAAAATCAAATACTTATCTGTTCTAAACTAATGTCATTGGTAAATCAGCATTTCATTACCAAACTCATCAGTAAAAGCAAATAAGCCCAAATACTAGGAATAACCTGGCCATGCCATAAGTCCCCAGAACTGTCAGTTTATTGAATGAACTAGAGCCGGCTTTTTGTCAAACACCACCCTCACAAAGGTCATAAGTGCTCAATGATCAACAAATCCAGGTCCCATATTACAATGAGGGTTTTTTTGTGAATGACAGTGTAAAGGGTCAAGTGGAAAACAATCATCATACGGAAGAGCTGCATAAGGAAAAGAAGGGAAGTCATTAGGGAAATAAGTGAGTGGGGGTAATTAGGAACAGAGGGAATGTCTTTATGCCTACAAGAGGTCCATGAAGACTGATGGGTAAATTTCTCTCTGCTAAAGCAGGTTAAATATGGGAGAGGCATTAGTGTAATTATGAAGGTATAACCCTTGTGACTTGCATTGGGGTTATTTCCTTGGTCATATTTTAGGTCAATAACATTTGTTGGCTAGTAAACAGAGCTTAACAGGTAATGGTGTAGTATGTGCTACAACTTGACTTTGTTGCTTCTTAGCTACAAAGCAAAATACCAGTAATACTGCAGAGGAATGTTTCACATTGGCTATTTATAACCTATACATGACGACACTTTAAAATAAAGCCAGCCACAAAATACTTCATTTAAACAGATTTAGTTGACAGTAGACTGGCAGGAAACATATTGGTTTTCATTTGTATGTTCAGCGGGCCAAGATACCAACTAAACCAGTTTCAAGAATAATCATAATTTTTCAGTAAACTACAAAGTTTCCGACTTACCCATATGACTTGCAGCAGTCAGCCATCCTCTCTTTTGTTACAAAATCAGCTGGGAGTTTAATCAGAAGCAAAATCAGTTGGCTATAGCCCCAGGTAAACAAATGTGAACGTGGTCTGGGAAGACAGTTTAATTCAAGTTAAACGTTAACATTCTGATGAGTTTAAAAAAACACACTTTTTTTTATCAGGAGGCCAAATAGATGAATGGGATTGTTTCATCTTTCACATGAAGTTTTGACAATATTAATTCAAAGAGCAGTGCATCCAGCTATCTTCTTAACGGATTCACTTAAAATTAGATTTTCCCTGTAGGCACAGATTAACGTGATTACAGAGGGCCAGAAAAAAGTTAATGTGGCCTTTTTGTGTATCAGCATCAACATTAGGAGGCATGTGCACAGCGCAGGGAATGGCGTTTTGTATACTCCAGCTGAGCCAGTAGGGGAATTTCACACATTTTAAAAAAATGTTTTCCCCAGAAACACACTGAAAATGATTCTGAAAAACGAAGTGGCAGCTTCTTAAGAGAGAGATGTATTTATAGTCGTTAAAGAGATCATTCCGGCCTGGATTATGAAGATAGGAAAGTTACTTAATCCTTTGGTTGCTGCTGTTAGACATCTTGAGGTAGATGAGATAACATACTCTAGAATGAAATTCAACCTGCTGCAGAAGGGCCAAGGCAAGACTATGCATCATTTACAGCCATTTGTTTAACTGAAGGCTTTATAGGGATTCTCTCCACTGGGGTGAATTTCACCCTCTAGGGAAGTGAAATTACTCTGAGGTAGCCAGCTCCATCATGGAACACATAGAAAGTCTGGACAACTACGTCTGGTTTGCGCAGTGCAATTAAATATACATTATTTACTACCTTACCTAGGGTTTCCTTCAGAATCCACTGTATTTGTTCTTTGTGGCGCATCATGGGAAACTGCCAGACACAGCCAATCCAGTCGTAACGCTTCAGGATTAAGAAGAGATTGAAGCAGGGACGACCTAAAGAAAGAATGGGAAAATCCACGGGTTTTAAATTGACCAAATATGGAAATGTGATAAACTTTTTATATATACTATTTAAAAATACCCAGGATCAGTGCACTGGAAAGATGATTTCTAGACAAGTTACATTTCCTTTAATCATAAGAAATATTACAGACTACATCCACATTTGAATTTTACATATTGAAGTGTTTCCCATTGCTAGTTTGAGTTAATTTGATACATTACAGTCTATAAAACACTAAGTCATTAAAGAGTTGTTATAAAAATCTTGATAAAATGGAATCTGCTTTGTAATGAGGCAACGTGGGAAGAGACTGGTGCATAGAAATTAAGTGGCAAAACAAAAAGCTTATTTAATGTTAAGTTCCACTCTATTTTTAAATGAGCAGGCAAAGTAGCATTACATTAAAAAAACCCCACACACCTGGATGATATCCAGTCTTTTTATTATGTAACCATTTCCCAACAACAAAAAAAGGCACACAGCATACATGCAGCCCCTTTACCTTTCATCTTCTGGCTTTGATTTAACAAGACTGTCTAAATATGCTAAAAAGTGGGCAGGGTGATGTCTACAAAGCTGCATGATGTCAGAGGGCAAGATTGATGGGTAGAACTTGACCAAGGGCCTTATAGCTGTTTCCCCAAACTTTTCATAGAGCCTGTACAAACAAACAAATATTATCTTTAATGCCAAATCACAGCAAGATTGCCACTTTGATAAGAAAATACAACTCTATTTCAAGATTCTAATTTATTTACCAGCATGTTTCAAGTTCTTCTGCTTTAACAAGGCTAACACTAGAACTATTACCATAAAAAAGTCTCACAAAACATTGAAGAGGCTAGTGGGAATACAAATCCAGAGCAAGGCAAACAGAAAGTGAACTGACAGTCTGAAATTTGTCATATTAACCAACAAGAAAAAAAGTCACACACTACAGACCTTTGAGCATGTGCCAATAACAGAGGACTATCCCAGGGCCCCAAGTCATTTAACAGTTTTAATATTTTCAACATATCTCCATTTTCCATTGCCAGAGTCACTGGACTAGCGTGAGTCAGTTCTGAAACACAAAACATTGTAAACGTTTTAAGATTTTATTTTTTTCAACTCAGCTGGTTTAAAAAACAATTAAGGAAGAGAAAAATGTCCTTTATTCTTCCAAAGTCCCCATCATGGAAATGTATCTCTAGCTGCAATGGTAGCAGGTGAGTAAATCACACTTAAGCTGTGTGTTTGGCTTTGACTGAATTACCATCAATAGTGTTACGGCAAAGTTAACATTATTAAATTGATTTTTTTTGTTAGGGAATTTTTTTGTATAAAAACTTCAAGATAAGGTTTTCCACTTCTCCTTCCCTTTAAGATTTAAGGCAACTTACTTTCTACTATATAAAGTTACATAACTCACATGAATTTCAGAACATATGCTTCACATGTACAGAACAGACCATCCTGAATTTATTTCAACACCAACTGTTAATGAACTACAAGTTCAATTTAAAGCTTAAATTACCAATAAAGGACATTACTGAAGTCACTGGGAATTCTGTAACTGAATTCATAGGAAGCAAACTGGGCACATAAGCCCTGATCTTGCGAAACCTCACATCCTTAACTGAATGCAAATAACCAGTTCCACTCAAATCAATGCAGGGATGCAATTAATACTTTTCTACTCTAAACTTTGCTTACGTCAACATGGAACAAATTTCTGCATGCCCAAACATAGTCCTCCATCCTGCAAAAAACTTAAGTGTGTGCTTAACTTTCTATGCCGAATCAGGGTTCTATCAATTGGTGGCCCTGAAGACCTGCCTAAAAAGGTTTTGCTTCAGTTTTGGAAGTTGCATATAGTGGACCAAATTCTGTTCTGAGTTACATCCAGGAAGCCTCATTCATTGGAGTGCAAAGGTATGAGAAAGGGCAGAAGGGACTTCTGGAGAAGAAAAGGATGTCTGAGGCGATATGGGGAATGTTTTTCCAATTCACTGCTGATCTTCATAAATGTGCTGTCGTCTAAGCTTTGGAAACAAGCTGAAATATTTGTGCCTACTTTGCCCCTGAGGGTGCTGAAACTCTTTCCCTAATTTTAGGTTTATATGTTAAATAATTGAAATTATTTGAGTTAAACAGCACCACACTTTTTCAAGTTCTCTTTGACATTTGCATATTCTGTTTCAACACATTTCATTCATGTTTAGCTAACTGCAGCTGCACTAGAGTAACTTGTTTAGAAATAACATCAGTGTAGGAACTAAACAAGAAGCATTTTCCCCTAGAAGCCACTGGTTCTTATTAACCTAGTTTTGTTTATTAAAAAAACAAAAAAAACCACTTGTTTCAGAGGTGGTTCAGAAAGGAATGTCCCCTCAGGCTGGATTTTTTTATTTATTTTTTTTTAAATCTGGATTTTTTCCAGAACAAAAACCTAAAACTTAGCTTCAATTGGTTTAAAAGTTAAAACAAAAAGCCACCACAGCCATTACCTTTCAATCCCTCAATGTAAGTTTCCCAAACACTGGGACTGCTAGTGTAATTGCTTGTAATACATCGCTTCAGTCTTTTTAAATCCAAGAGAAAGAAATAGTCCTTTATGAACTGGCAAGCCAAGACCCATGACATTGTTCGCTGTAAATCCTGTTCAGCACTTTCTTCCGCATTCCCATTCTCGCAAGGAAACACATTTAATTCAAAACATAATGTTGTCAACTCCATTAGGTCCTTGTGAATATCGTGCGCTATGAGACATGGAGGATACATTTGAAAAACATGGCCTGAGGCTCCCTTTGAATTGGCATCATTTTCACACACTTCTCTGCCAAAATGAGCTTCGCTACTTTGATCCTGTTCAGTAATTCCTTGCAAGGCATCTGTCTGTCCTTTGCCTACATGATCTTCACTGTGTTGCTCTGGTGCAATATTTTCTTCTAAAACCTCACTCTGTTCTTCAGCAAGCACGTTCTTAACTTTCTTAATGGATAAGCAGTCACCTGAAAAGGAAGGCTCTTTGAAACCAAATGTTTCTTCCAGATACAAAAACCACTCCTGCAAAACTCCTCTCAAGCATTGTGGTTCTAACAAAACCAGTGGATCTTGCAGTTTGTTTCTGTAAAACAAAGTGGAAATGAATTGAACTTGCTATTTAATAATCAAGAGATGCCAGAGCTGATCTATTAGACATATCAAGAGGACAACGCAACTTTAGTATATTCCTAGATACTGGTCAGACCAATGCTGTTTTCCTGAGTAGTCAGGACAGTAGGAAAGTCACTATATAATTTCTCCTCGCATGCTTTGGGGGATCTCCCCTCCAAATGATTCATGTAGCTTGGTAGGCAACTGTTCAATTCTACCTCTAATGCTACAGTCCTCTTTTTCTCAGCAAAACTCACAATGAAGTTATATTTTTAATGGAAAAAAGCCACTATTCAAGGAAGGACTTTCAGATAGCCCAGGGAAGAGCAAACTATTGGGGCCGGAGGGGACGGCTCCTTGGGCTGCCCTCACCTGCAGGCACCGCCCCCCACAGGTCCCACTGGCCGGGAACGGGGAATGGTGGACAATGGGAGCTTTGGGAGTGGTACCCGCGGCGAGGGCAGCGCTCGGCAGAGCCGCCTACCCCACCCTGCCCCCAGGAGCCATTGCTGGATATGCTGGCCACTTCCGGGAGCAGCACAGGGCCAGCCTTAGCCCCACTGAGTGCCGCTGTCACCCCGGAGCAACCTGAGGTAAGCGGTGCTGGGCCGGAGCCCACACCCCACATCCCTCTTGCACCCCACATCCCAACCCCCTGCCCTGAGCCCCCTCCCACACCCCGCACTCCCTCCTGCACCCCAACCCCCTGCCCTGAGCCCCCTCCTGCACCCTGCATTCCCTCCCATACCCCAACCCCCTGCCCCAGCCCTACATTCATGGCCCTGCATACAATTTCCCCACCCAGATGTGGCCCTTGGGCCAAAAAGTTTGCCCACTCCCAAGACAGCCATACACCATGTCTGGATATACTTGCACAGTATCATTTATTGCAGACATTTACAATAAAGGCTTTCTGCCAAAGTAAAATATAGCTCTATGGTCTCTACTTACATAGCTTCTGTCGTTGCTACCTTGAGATCTCTTAGCCGATCCTCTTCTTGAGGCTGGCTCTGTAGTTCCACTCTAGAAAGAAATATGAAGACAAAATTGTGCTCTCTTTTCAAAACAGAGGGAGAAATAGCATTAAGTCTGTTATGAGAAATGCAGCTCTGTTACTTTTCATGAGAAACAGACAAATGAGACTACAGTAATTATGGAGCAGCTGGACTTGAGGAGCAGAAGAAAAATAATTTCTTCCATCTTGTAATTCATTACCTATGAGGGTTCTCAGATGTCAAGAAACAAAACTAACACTGAGCTATTACAAATTCATTGCTTAAAATATTTCAATGATTTGCCAATTTAACTCCAGATAATAATTTAGCTCTCATTCTTTATTCATATGACTAAGCCACTAGAGTGTTTTCTTATTCCTTTAAACAACCCAGTTTTGAGGCTGATAAAGCTGCTTGTTCCTCTTTTAATTAAAAATAGGATGTAGGCTTTAAAATTCACATGTGTCAACAAGCCTGCTTAGGTACCCAAGAAGAGCAAGTAGGGAGCTATATTAGTTTCCCCTTCCTCAACCATTCCAGCACCACGAATGTAAACTGTTAACATCCATTTTCGAGACGAGTTTGACACGTGAACAAGCTTGGGGGTAAAAAATTGAGAAAGGGGGTGGGGGAGGAGGGAGAAACCAGATGAATTCATGGAGCCTCTCTATACAGCCAGCTGGAAAAAAAATCTCCAGCAGAATCATGTGATTTCCCATTCTTTAAATGAATGGGATCACTGTGGAAGACAAGAGTTCCCAGTCCTTGGGCAGCTGGCACATTCGACTAATAAAACTATGCGAGCTTGAACTTACTCGTTTTCATCTTCTTCCTGGGAGTGCGTGGCTATACTAGCAGTCACTTCGTGAGACTCCTCATCATCTTTTATTTCCTGCCTCACTCTGACATCAGGACTCATATGAAGGGTGCCAATCTTTTCAGTGGTTTTGCGTACAAAGCTGGAAACACTAAAAGTCAAAAGTTCAAACAACTGAGATGGCAGTAGGGGGGAGCTCAGTTAACGCAATAAATCTCAGTCTTTCCAGCCAGCTTCTCACTTCAGAAACCTTTATCATCTGAAGGAGGCAGGAAGAGAGGATGGGCGCACTGGCAACCAGCAAGTTTCAGTCAGTCAGAACCAAACATGAAAAAATGCATGTTGCACTCAGTAAGAAACATCTCAGAACTTGTATGCTTTAGTCAAGTTCTTTACTCCTAAGATTTTTAGGCCCCAATGGAAATCACAAAATAAAACACTGGAAGTTTGGTTTTGTGCTGCTCGTAGAGGAGATTTAACAATTATGCAAATTATGAGATTTTTATTTGCAATACAGAGAGGTTAATTTTTCCATGATAAAGCCTCTAAATTAGCACACGCACAAGAATTTTGTTAAATTATCTTTTAATTTGGTCTATAATGACCTTCACAGTGACAAGAAAATTGTTCAGGAAATTTACAGTTATTAATAAATTAGAGAGCATTCTAAGAGGTCCTCTGTTTCACTTATCCATTCCTAATCCTTAGAATGTCTCATTCCAAAGGAAGGCCTACCTACATTCCAAAACTCTAATATATTGGCCCATAACATGCAAGAGTTTTTTAGAAAACCAGGATTCAAAAGCAACCTCAAGTTCCTGCGCTCCAGGTCAGAACAGGTTTAGCCATGTCAGAAAGAAAAAACAGTTACCTACCTTTACATAACTGTTGTTCTTCAAAGTATTTTGCACAGGTCCATTCCACTACAGGTGACTCACAAGCAGATAACTGTTTGGAGTCTGAACAGTTATGGTGGAACAAGCCATCCAAAACTGGCATTGTTCCTGGACTGACGGGAAATGGCATAATGAGCAGCAAATGTATGAACTGATGACCAGGTAGCTGCTTTGCAAATGTCTTGACCAGGTACATGCATGAGGAAAGCTGTTTGTGCTCTAGTTGAATGAGCCGATACTCCAGGTAAGAAGTGGCGTGACATAAGCTAACTGCACAAACAAGTGCAAGAGAGGATTTCTTTCTAGATTTCCTAAGTGGAAACCGATTAATTTTTCACCCTGGCTGCAAATCATGACAAATAACTGTGCTGAAGATCTAAAGGGTCTGGGGCAGCCCAAATAGAAGACTAATGCTCTCCTCACATCCAACAAATGATGTTTTTGCTCATCTGTACACATGTAGGCTTTTGGGGAAAAGTTGGCAAATAAACTGCCTGGTTAATGTGGAAATTGGAAACCACCTTTGTCAAGAATTTTGGACGGGGGAGGAGGTACACTTTATCCTTACAGAAAACTGTATAACGAGGCTCGGAAACCAAGACTCTCAATTTACCCACTCTCCTTGCTGAGGTTAACGCAACCAGAAATGCCACTTTCACAAAGAGATGGAGCAGGGAGCAATTTGCAAGAAGATCAAAAGGAAGTCCTGTTCATTTTTTTAGCACCAGGTTGAGATCCCTTGGGTGAATAGGTTCCTGTACCTAAAGGTATAATTCATCCAACCCTTTTAGAAATCTGATAGTTACGGGGTTGGAAAAGAGTGATTTATTACCCAGTAGAGGGTGGAATGCTGAAATAGCCGCCAAATGGACTTTAATTGAACTGTCTTGATGTTTGAGGTGCAACAGATAATCCAAAACATGGTTAATGGAAGCCTGCACTAGAGAGACACCGTTTCTGTTGAGAAAAAATAGAAAAACGTTTCCATGTCGCCAGATAAGCACATCTAGTTGAAGGATTTCTGCTACTCAGAAGTGCTTCCTGAACGTCTGTTGAGTGAGCCATTTCCAATAGTGCTAACCAAGAGGCATCCCTATGGCCACGTGGAAAGCCTGTAGGTTGGGGGGGGGAGATTATTCCCTTCAATTTGTTTCTACCCTTCTTCAAATCCCACTTCCCTGTCACTCTTCAGGGACCACTCTTGCAAAACCATTCTTCAGCAGGAGGTCCAATCTCTCCTTCTAGCAGGAGCCTGAGAGAAAGTTCCTCTGTTCCTCAGTAGGAAGGGTTTTTATTTGTGCTGTTTCCTTTGTGCCAAAGCAAAAGACCTATTTTAGACCTAACAGAATTAAACATGTACCCGAAGAAAATAAAATTCCTTACAGTTATCCTAAGCTTTCATTTGGTCTTCCCTGGAACAGGGCGACTTGTATGCTGCCCCTGACTTAAAAGACACTTACTTCCATATTGCAACCCATCCAGACCACCAGAAGTTTCTCAGGTTTGTAATCAATGGAATTCACTACCAATTCACAGTGCTTCCATTCAGCCTATCAGCAGCCTGTTGCATTATCACAAAGTACAGGGCGCAGGTAACTGTGTATCTGCAGAGATTGGAAATCCATGTGATTCCTCCACCAGGACGACTGACTGATGAGAGGCCATTCCAAGTCTCAATCACTGTCCAGTATGACCATCATTCAGTCCACCTTCAAAACACTAGGGCTGTTCTTCAGTATGGACAAATCAGTTCTAAAACCCATGCAAAGAATAGAGTTTATCAGCACATGCTTGGATGCTACAAAAGCCAGCGTGTATCTGTCCCTGTCAACTCTTCAAATGCTCAGAGACCTGGTCTTGGATCTAAAAGCATATCCAGTTACCAAGCACACACTTGGCTCAAGCTTCTGGGACACATGGCGGCATGTACCTGTATAGTGCAGCATGCCAGACTACACTTCTGCCCTCAGAAGGCTTCAGGAATGGCTAGCGTCGGTGTATGTCCCCTGCGACGTAGTTTAGGCACAGTGATTAGTGTTCCATAGGTAACTTTATCCTCTCTGAACTGATGGACAGACCTTTGGTATGTCTGTGCAGGAGTTCCCTTCGTTTCTCCGCAACCAATGCTCAAGCTGGTCATGGATACCTCATCCCTGGGTGGACCACATCAGAACCCTGCAACTCAAAGATTGTGGCCCTCGCAAGATCTGAGGATTCGAATAAACATCAGGGAGCTACATGCTACCAATCTCGCCTGTTTGACCTTCCGTCCACATAATGTGGGGGAAAAGTCTGCTAGCGTTAATGCACAATACAGGGACTATGTCCTATGTGAACAGACAGGGAGGGGTGTGTTCCTTCTAGCTGTGCCAGGAGGTAATTCTGCTTTGGGAGTTCTGTATAACGAACTCAATTCACCCCAAAGCTGCTTGCTTCCCAGGCGAGCAGAACACATTGTCAGGTCCTCCTCCGCTCACCATGAATGGTCTCTGTTTGGATGTGGCCAGGTCCACCGCCCAGTTGTGGAGAACTCCCCAAGAGGACCTGTTTGCAACAAAGACCAATAGAAAGTGCCATCAGTTCTGCTCCAGAGGGGGTCACAGCCCAGGTTCTTTAACAGAGTTTCTTGCTATCACAGATGAGCTCCCTGCTGTTGTTAGAGGAAATGCATACATTACTATCCAATGTCCTGTTCAAGGCCAAGCAGAATCATGCTTACCTCATACTAATTGCACCAGCATGGTATCAGCAAAATTGGTTGTTGGTCTTTCTAGCAACACTAGTAGGGTCTCCTCTGCCTTTCCCATTGGATTCAGACATGACTTCTCAGACTGGGACATCCATAAACCACAAAGTTCTGATGGACAATAACCCTGCCATCTGGTTTGGGACACAGAAGACCCCACTTCCAAATCTGACCAAGATGACTGAGTCCTGCAGTAACAGCGGAGCAGAACCCATGTAGACAGGATACAGGTAAGCTGAACCCAGAGGTGGTGGTACTCAGGATAGTGACAGTGGCTTGCCTCTGGATTGTACTGGCCCCTTCGGTATTGTAAGTGGCATCAGGACTGCATTCTCTTGCTGACCTGCTGAAACCACTCTTGCTCTGCTGGGGATGCCGGTACCAAAAGGTTAAGCAATTCTCTGTGGCAGCGTACCTCTGACGTCATCAATACCAGAACTGGTCTTCAGTCTGCTATGTTTGTATAATAAATTCAGGGGTCGGCCTCAACAGACCTGGCATAGATTCTGGAGTTGATAACCCCACTTTGTGGCAGAGGAATGCTCTAGAAAACACTTCCCCTTCGAGTCCCTCACAGAGTCCTCGTCTCTAGCTGGCCTTGCTGAACGAGGTACTGAGTCCCTGGAAGATGTGTCTCTGTACTGATGGCACCGGGCTTGGAATATGCTCTGAACCCAATGGCTCCAAAGGAGGGTAAAATGCCGCCTCCATAAAGAGATGTTTAAGTCTTGCTGCTCTCTCTTTTTTCTAGTGAGGCTTAAACTCTCTACAAATGTGACACTTTTTCACTGATGTGCGACTCCCCCAAACATTTTAGGCAGCTGGGCTGTGGGTCACTGACGGGCAAAGCTCTGGCACAAAGATTGGCAGGACTTGAACCCCAGAGAACAAGGCATGGCTCCAGTACAGTGCCTGCTACTGAGAATCAAATTTGGTCCATAAAGAATCTAAAAACTGAAACCTATCACTAACACTAACCATGAACTATATCGAACTACCAACTAAACAACAGACTATATACAAAGAGCAAGTGAAATAAACATGTAATAGCAAGACTGGAACTGTTACAAAAGCTGTCACTGTCCTTCTATACCTGCAAGCAGTGGCGAGTGATGGCAGAGAGCGCTTGACCCACCCTGCTGGGTACCACTCAGGGAAAAGGTTCCCAACAATTGTGCAGGGCACACACACACACCCCTACAGTGGAATTGACTTGTACAATCACTCGAAATAGAACTTCTGGATTCTCTGGTTAAACAGTTAACATTCACCACTCAAAGAGTCCCTCCTAGTGGTGGCACAGTACAACACAAAAAGAGCTGCTCTTCAAATTTAAGAAGAGGGAATGGGTTTAAGCCCAGTAGGTTACTGATCTTAAAATACAGTGAGTGTTGAAGGGAAATTTTTATAAAAGATTATAAACCGCAAAATAAAATAGGATTCTTGACCCAAGCCTTTAAACTGGAGTAACTAGAATGTAGCATATGAATACTTATGGATTTAATTTTCTGCTTGTGTAAAAATTAATGTTCTCTGGTAACAAACTTTTTTAAATGGATATAGCTTGGTATTTGGAAAGAGGAAAATGGAGGTGTGAATATCCACATAAAGCTTATGGATGAAGCTTTCAATAGACTAACAGGCATCAAGTAATTTGATGAAAACATTATTTTATTATTGAAGGGTCTGGGAGCAATACACTTACCTTAGAAAACTGAATGAAAGGGCTAACCCAACATTTCAAGATAATGCTACAAACACCATGGGCCAGCACTTCTGGTTTTAAATAAGATACATTATATTCAGAGCTTTGAAATAACCAGTTTTATGCAAGCTATTTCCCCCCCTTATTTTAGTGGCTTGCTTGTTCTATATTTTAAAGCCGCACATTTTGATTTTTAGACATAAAACTGGGTTTGTTCACATACAATAGGTATAAACCACAGTTGATTCCAGATACCTGTGAGGAATGCATAAGATTTACTGAAGGAGGGAAGGGACAATTTAATTGATTTGGGGTACATATCTTGACAATACATACCATCATTAAAATACACACAGGACCTTAACATCTTCAACAATCTAAGTACCAAAATGCTAAATCCCATAGCCACAATCAATAGACTCACTCAAAAGTTGGAAACGCTAGCCACAAGACTATGGTATGTGTTCTTAACCTCCATTTAAAACTCAAGAGTGAAATCCTGGCTTCACTGAAGTCAATAGCAAGACTCCTATTATCTTCATTGGAGTCAGGATTAAACTTCCCTATCAAATTTGATTTTATATTGTGTATTTTATGCAATATTTTATCTTTCGGCAAAGTATGAAACAACAATGCTATGAATTCAGAAAAAAAGGAATATAATGGATGAACAAATATCCTATGATGTTTACCTTTCCTTGACAGCTTGGAGGGAGACCAGAGGAGATGGTGAACGAAATGACAATGGAATACTGAATGGGAGAAAAGTCTCATTCCGATCAGTCTCAACCACCACAGAAGTATGAGATACGTTTTCTAACAAACGGAATTGAAATAATAAAATTATGAAGCAATGACTTGACAACGAAACATATAATCCAGTTAGGACCCATGCTTTCCTTTAACTGGGAAATTTTACTCTTGTAGCCTAAATTGTGTTTTCTTTTTTTACTTGCAGGTTCTATCATGGATTTTTTTTATTTTTTTTTATTTTTTTTTGAGACTGGGAGACTGGAGATAGGATAGGAACTAGCAACACACACACACACACACACAGTCCTTGGGATCAAGGGCAATTTTAGCATTACTGGCCTTAGACCAGTAGGTATTTGTTTTATTAACCTGTTGAATCTTTATTTGATAAAGAGGCAACTGACAAACTAGTGGCAGTAAGAGGAGAACACTGGATGGGTGACTGTCTTCTGTACATGGATTTCTGGCCTATTCTGAGGCAACAGCTCAATGCTGTTTTCAGCAGGTAACCAAGATGGCTCAAAAAAAAAAAAAAACTAACATAAATATGTCATATTAAACTATGTAGTGACATTTCATGAAAGTTAGATTACATTTGGGCTGAGAAAGTTAGATTACATCTGGGCTGAGGGGGCAGACTCTGGGGTGGGGCCAGGGACGAGGGGTTTGGGTGCAGGAAGGGCCTCCGGGTTTGGGTGGGGTTCAGGGGTGGGGCAGGGGATTGGGGGTGCATGCTTACCTCAGGTGGCTCCTGGTCAGTGGTGGTGCTCAAGCAGGCTTCCTGCCTGTCCTGGCACCGCAGACCACGCTGTGCCCTGGAAGCAGCCAGCAGGAAGTCCGGCTCCAAGGCAAAGGTATATAAGCAGCTCCGCGCAGCTCTTGCCCGCAAGCACTGCCCCCCACGTCCCATTGGCTAGGAGTGCAGAGCCAGTGTTTGGGGCAGGAGCAGCATGCAGAGCCCCGTGCCCCCCCCGCCCCCCACCTGGGAGCCGGACCTGCTGCTGAACGCTTTGGAGCGGAGCACAGTGTCAGGTAGGGACTAGCCTGCCTTGGTCAGGCAGCACCGCCGATGGGACTTTTAACGACCAGGTCGGCGGTGCTGACCAGAGCCGCCGCAACCCAGCACCTTACATTCCGCGACCAAGTTCTAGGTCGCAACCCGCAGTCTGCAAACCACTGATCTAAAGTACCAAATGATGCTCACATGCACTGAGATACAGAAGCAGCTAGGATTTTTATAGTTTGAAATAACCAGCCACTTGGAGATCACTAGTTGAGCAGCAACAGGAAAGCTCCAACTCCACACGTGTAAAGCCAAGTCTCTTCACTTGAAAATTTTACATTCTAAAATACATTAAGATGGCATAACCAAAAAGTAAAGATGGGTGAACAAATGTCACAAATGACAAGTGTAAAGTTCATGGTCACAAAACACGCATTTATTAATAGTACAAACCTTCCTAAACATGGTATTAGCTTTTAAACCTTTATATTTTCCACTCTTTCTTGACACACATTGTGAGAAAGTCCACAAACACCTTGGCAAAAAAAAACTGTTGCACTACGACATTTTAGTTTCTGACACCAACAGATTACTAAAAAGAGAGGCCAAAGAAACCCCCTGACATATTTTCATACACTTTAGTATAATCCACTTGATTTTAGAAAAGAATGAGTCTACCAAGACAGCTGCATTCTTCACCTTCCCTCTTGACCAAACAGAGCAGGGTTCAATTCAAGATCAGGTAGATCACAAGGGGTGCCATCCCTTCCTACAGGACACTCCCACTCTGCAGGGGATAGCAGTTGACTCCCTGATGAGAAGGGAGTTTTGCTCTCCTGCCCCACTTAATTTTTAGGTCATCAGCAACCTAGGGGTCAGGAGAAAGACTCCACACCTTCTCATAGCTAGCAGCTCTAAATTGGGTGGGTGAGGTGGAAGGAGTTCAATATTTAATAGAAGTGTGCCTTCAGGTCTGCCTCATCCAGCTCTTTTGGTGCATCTGAAGAGAGAGCTCACTATACAAAAAATAAACCCCAATATTCTCCCTATAGCACTAGAGTATATTCCCAGCAGAAACCCAAGAGCATCTCCCTCTCTGCAGGCCATTCTATCCTCTACCCAGCTTTAAACAGCTTCCTCTATCAACACAGACAGGCAGCAGCAGAGAAAGGAGCTACGAATAAAGGTGTGTTTTTTTCAGAAAGGAGAGATCACACTACCCCTTGAAAAGCCAGAGAAGCCTCTACTTTTGTCCAGAGATGGACATTTGTTGGGGGAAGAAAAGAACAAAGCTGATTGGGTGGAATAATGGGGTTACTATTTCAAAAGATTGCATCCCTCATACACCAATGTGTAAATGTACAGGAGGGAATCCCTTCCAAAAAAACCCAGAAAAGAAACCCTGCAAGAAAGTTAAAAGCTCTTGACCGACACCGACCAGCGCCCTGGCACCAATATAAGGCCTGGCTCAACTAGAGTTAGGATAGGACAACAAAAGTGGAAATCTGGCTAGCAGAGGCTGGATTAATACTGAAGCAGGGTATTTTGCCTTAATGGTAAGAATAACCTAGCTGAGTTACCTACAAAAAAAGGAAATCTTGAGTGAAATCCTGGCTCTACTGAAATAAAAGGGAATTTTGCCATTTACTTCAATTGAGTCAGGATCTCAACCCTAAGGTTTTCAGTACAATGTTTTACTACAAGAGGCCACATAAGTGGTGACTTTAGGTTTACCAGCAAGATGTGGCACATGTGATTCACCGAACAGTTTATAGGGTTTAAATCAGGGATATCTAAATGGTGGAAGACAAATGGAATTTACAGCTATAAAGGATTTTGTTGTTGTTTTAAACTTAGACACCATATCACCAGCTACTTGCTGAACACAAAAAAGGCAACTGAAAAGCAATTTTCATCGCAAGCCATTACCAAGCTCCAGCTGCTCTTCTTCCTGGTGTGCAGTAAACTCTTTAAGCCTCTCATCTTCTGACAACGTTTGGCTGTTTAGGGAACAAGCGTCTTCATCTGACTGACTGCCTCTTCGACTAATAACACGATAAATTCCAGAGTCTAAGACACTGAAACTTTCCTGTGGGGGCAAACAATAGTCACATGAGCCACAAAAATATCCTTATTAAACCACACTGAGAATTCAGTGAACCACCAGAGCTTTTAATCTGAAACCTTGGAAATAAACACATGTATGCTGGAAAAGCATTCTGGTATTTGTATGCAGATGAGTATGCCACACTGTATATTTATAAAGAAATTGAACTAAGTAAGAGTTAAAATGGAACTTTTACAGGAAGAGTAACTACAAGAAAAACTGCAAGTCTGGTGGGGTGAGCACAAGATGAGGAACTAAGAACTCCTCAGTTTTAATATCGTCTCTGACAAAGCCACACTGTACAAGACACTTCCTCTCGCCTATAAAGGGAGTTTTGGTCATGGTGCAATTGCAGTTAATTGATTCTTAAATAACTAGTTTGCTAACACAATTGTAAGTGCAATTATAGACCCTCCACAAAAGTTTTCCCCAAAACACACGTTTCTCCCTGGTCATGGTTCAGCTCAAGCTGTACATTTCTACATCTCTACAACATGGATAACCTCACAGGATGTTGTGAGAATAATTAGTTGTCTAAAGTGCTTCGAAGATGAAAACAGCTATGTAAGTGCTAAATACGAAGCAAGTTTTTCCTTTTCACAAGACATTAAAAGGGTCAACATCTTACCAACCACATGAGTAAAACAGCACTTGACACTTTTGTAAGTAAAGTTAAAGCCAATTTTTAAAACTGAGTACAAGGTCTTATGCCCAAATGAGGTCACATTTCCACACAAACCGGCATTTTCTGAAGAACGTTACAGCACTCTAAAATATAACTTTAGAAGAGAAGTACTGTCATGCAGGAATCATTGTGGGTCAGAGAATAGAATTAAGTAGCCCTAGATGAACATGAAATCTATCAAATCATACCCTCACAAATCTAAAAAACTGCATAATTAACATTTTTAGGTTCCTATCCCCATTAGTCTAGTTAGTAATAGACACCCTAAGTATCTTGCAGTGTGGATGTAGCCAGGTTGGTCCCAGGATATGAAAAAGACAAGTTTGGTGAGGTAATACCTTTTATTGGACCAACTTCTGCTGGTGGAAAGTACAAGCTTTTGAGCTATGCAGAGCTCCTATTCAGATCTTGGGAAGGAAATCAGTGTGTAAGCTAAATACAAGTTGGAACAGATTGTTAAGCGTAAGGGATAATGCATGTTGTAGGCAGCCACTTGAAAGGAAATGGGCAACAGAGGGTTAGATTGTTATGCATAAAGGATTTGAAGTGGACAATTAAGGGTAGCAGGCAGTGGGGGTGGGGGATATTACAAATTGTTGTAATGGACCGTAAAACTAGTGTCCCTGTTGAATCCGTGTTTTTTGGTGTCTAGCTGAGTTATTAATTTAAGTTCCCAAGCTCACCTTTTGAAGGTATTGTGGTATTTGAGGGCGAGTATTGAAAGAACAGATATGGAGTAAAAAGAAAAGGAGTACTTGTGGCTCCTTACAGACTAACAAATTTATTTGAGCATGTAGCTCATGAAAGCTTATGCTCAAATAAATTTGTTAGTCTCTAAGGTGCCACAAGTGCTCCTTTTCTTTTTGCGAATACAGACTAACAAGGCTGCTACTCTGAAACCAGATATGGAGTGATCACTTTGTGAGAAAAGTTTGACCATAGGCAGTAAGTGTTTTTGTCTTTTATCATTTTTTTGTGAGAGTTCATTCAAGAATGTAATGATTGACTGGTTTCACCCACATAAGTTTTTTTGGGGCATTTGATGTACTGAATGAGTTGTAATAAGCATGTGTAGGACCCATGAATCTCAAAAGGTGTGTTTGTTGTGTGAGGTACTGATCATTGTAGCAGTGGAGATATGTCTGCAGGTTTTACATCGGTTATTCTGGCAGGGTTTGGTGCTGCTCTGAGTTGGTACATCCCGGTCTGTGGGGAGCTTGCTTCTGATGAAGAGCTTGGCAAGGCTGGGGGGTTGTTTGAAGACAAGAATAGGGTGCTCAAGAAAGATTTACTTCAGGATGTGGTCCGCATCAAATATGGGTTTTAACTGTATGAGGACATGCAGTATGGGTTCCAATGTGGGGTGGTAGGTCTCAACTGGGAACTTAAATTCGTAACTCTGGTGGACAACAAAAACCATGGACTCAACAGGAACACTGGTTTTATGGCTCATTACAATGCTTTGTAATACCCCCACCACCGCCTGCTATCCTTAATTGCCCACTTCAAACCCCTTATGAATAATAGTCTAAACCCTCAATTGCCCACCTCTTTTCATGTGGCCTCCTACAATATGAGTTAACCCTTACGTTTAGCAATGTGTCTCAAACTGTAGTTAGCTAAGACACTCTGATTTCCTTCCCCAGACCTGAATAAGAGCTCCGTGTAGCTTGAAAGCTTGTACCTTTCACCTACAGAAGTTGGTCCAATAAAAGATATTACCTCCCCCACACCCTAAATATCTGACCACTATCAGTGAAGAAAGGCAAATATAAGATAAACCTTTTTTCTAATCTGCAGAGTGAAGGATTGTGTGACACTGAGCCAGCGAGGGTTAAGCAACCAGCAGCTGGCTGATCCAAAAATCAACCTTTAAGGACATACTAGAATAGTACTGAAATGGTAAACAGGACCATTCCTTGTATATAGTTAAGAAAGCCATGTTAAATACACTCGGAGTTCTTGAAATGTAAACCTCTATTGTTATAGAATTAGAAGCAGATATTAATTATATTTGTCTGTTTATCTATATCTTATCAGAAGTTTAACAATGTAATCTAATTAGCTTGTACATGCTAAACTTCAGTCCCTGTCTGTAATGTTTCATTACTATATTCTATTGATTCAGAGATCAAAAAGGGATATTAACACTTAGATGAGACTTGTGGTGTAATAATATCGTCTTTATTTCTCTTTGAAGTGTGCAGTACACTACCTATTAACCATTTGAATGGGTAATTGCGATAATGCTAATCAATGCAACTAGTTTATCAGCATATACATAGGAAATAGAAGTTTAGCTTCAAAGCACAATATACACTGCCTATTCTTCATCCGGGAAGGCCCCCGCTGTGATCATTTGCTGTCAAGAGACTTATCTGCTGAGCTTTAGTTATGAAGGGCTCGGGCCTGATCTTTACTATCTCAGATTTGCTTAAACTTTGATGAGGAAGTTCAAGTTGCAAGAGGTCTCCAGGTGTACCCTGAATTATCCCTGCAAATTCTCATGGAAGAATCTGAACAAACTCTACACATCAACTGCCTATTGGACTATAACCTACTGAACTGATTCAGGAAGGATTTTTACAAATCAGCATCATCACCATCTCTGCTATGAAACTGACTTACGAACTATACTCATATCTGTATGTATAATGATTTTTAACCACAGTAACTCTTTTCTTTTTAAATAAATCTTAGATTAGTTAATAAGAATTGGTTGTAAGCATGTATTTGGGTAAGATCTGAAATATTCATTAACCTGGTGGGTAATGTGTCTGATCCCTTGGGACTGGTAGGACTTTATATATGGTGAATAAGGTTTTAAATAATCCTCACCATATAGACTTGGCTGTTTGAGTGGAAGCCAAAGGCTAGAGTGCTTAAAGGGAACCTGTCAGGCATTACAGAGGCTGTTTTGTTACTGGCCTGGTGAATATAATTATTAGAATAAACTACCCGTTTTGGGGATTGTCTGCCCTATTCTTTGCATTTGAGCATTTTCAGTATCATCCCTCCAGCAACCCCGGTCAAAGATGGCAAAAGACAAGCTCATAACAAAATGAGGAAGAACTCAATTAACGAAAAAATTCAACTTTATGTACACCTACATGTGATGAAATACTGCTCCTTCTGCTGCTGCATGCAGAATCTAAAGGTTCCAGTTTTGATATCAATTCTTCCAGTTGGCTACTGACATCACTTTGGGTTGAGAGGTCCAGCTGTGATTTCAAGTGCTCTAGTTTGTCTAGAGGCAAAAATTTTCTTGCCTAACAATACAAAAAGCAAGAGGTTTGTTAATAGTCTTAATGCACATATGAAACATAACAGATGGGTTTTAATTTACTACCCATACAAGTATAGGCTAAGTTTTCTAATAAAGGAATCATTGCTGATTAGTTCTACAATAACATTTCAACATGATAAAAAGCTCCAAAATCCGAAGTGCAGAGTTTTATAGGATTTGGTTTAGGACAAAAGATAGATGTACTAAATGAATAGATGTATGAAAGAGGTGGGAAGAGGTCCTAACTTACTCTGCAGGAAATAATAGAGTTCTGGAAAAGACAGCAGACTCTGGCAGCAAGACTCCAGAAACCTCTTCTTAGCAGACGTTCTACACACCGCTCCACTAGCAGAAGAGAGAAGTGCGAGACTTTTCCATTCGTATGCAGACAGAACAACTCATTTCTGTACACTGCTATATCCTGGATATCTATATAAAACAGATGAGTAGAGAAGTCTTAGGGATGAATGTACTTATCAGTATTCCTTTCCATTTCTGGGTAAACTTGGAAACAATTTAGAGACAAGAAGGGTGAGGTAATATCTTTTATTGGACCAAATTCTGTACTGGACCAATACAACGTAGAACAGATTTAGCGTGACACTGAGTAAGTTCCCCAGACCTGAAGAAGAGCTCTGTGTAAGCTCGAAAGCTTGTCTCTCTCACCAACAGAAGTTAGTCCAATAAAAGACATTTCTTCAGCCACCTTACATTTTTAATTTCTTGGGACTGACACGGACACAAACACATTGGAAACAGTTTGTACTTTTCCATCTGCCTACTAATGATTACAACAAATTTCCATTCCTGAAATAGACCAACAGAATATGGGATAAAATTAGATGACAGTACATTAATATATAATTATCATTGCATACAATTAAAATCTAAGAGTCCTTTGATCTTTACCAAGTTACTTGGAAGTATTTAATTACAAGTTATGCACATTTTTTCTTTGGAAAAGAAAACAAACCAAAACGCAGAGACTACATAGCACAATGACAGGTCCCATTATTTGAAATTAATTAGTTGCTTGTTAAGGATTTAATTAATTTGATGTACAAGAAACACTTAATGTGCAAATGCTCCATAACACTGGCATTTTGAACTGTTAATATCAAGAGTGCAGTTAAATACTCTTAGAACAGTTCTAGAACCAATGTAGTAAGCACATATGTGTTTGACATTTCTTAGTCCTTCTGTGTAACTCGGCAGTTGTCTAAACTGAAGAATGTAAATACAATTTAGAAGAACACTATACAAAAGTCTCCTAATCTGTTAGAGTCAGATCCACATCAGATATTCTTTGAAAGATAATAAAACAGAGTAAGGAGAAGCAAGGAAAGAAAACCATAATATTTATGATGTTTCATTGAATCACAATTGGTCATTTTATTTCTGAGATTCAATACACTGTCCCCTATTACTTTTATTGCACAAGCATCCAAATAAGTAATTTGTAAAGATTAGTTTTCAAAGGGTTTGGTTTTTTTTTAATATTCAAAAATTTGTCATATAAATTGCTGACTATTAAACTAGAAAGTTATTAATGAATGTTATTTTACCCCTTTGTGGAAATGGAAATTGGTTTACTGAACTGTAAGTACAGGACTTTAGAAAGTCAAAATGTAATGAACAATGCAGCAAAAACATAAGTTTCTTAAAGTTCACCTTTTACTTCACTCCAAAGTAAAACTTGAACGTTCTGAGGAATGAAGACATAAATGCCTCTTTCTGTCCACGTCATAACACAATGCTCGCTGTAAGCAAAGAAAAAAATATTAAGCATTGTTTCAAGAAGTTTTAACGTACTCATTTCAGAAGGAAATTCTCTTGCCAGAGTACGCCATTTAATAGTATATTTAATTAATCTATTATTTTTTTATTTAGAGAACAAGATCTCTAGATCTCTAAAACAAGATTTAAGACACAGCCTCCTGACCTAACACATCTGTTTTCTATAGTCTTTAACCAAACCTGCATACAGGGAATTCAGGTAGGAAGATTATTTTGTAGATTTAAAAAAAACTGACTTTTGGAGAAGGTTTGCAGATTTACATGAAACTGTGAACCCGTAAAAAAATGCGTTTAGTGGAAATGTTAAAAGTTAGTACAAATTTATATTTTGTTGACAAGACCTGGAAACTTAAAGTAATTAGGATTTTGAAAAGAATTCACTAGACAACAGGGTTGGGGGGAAATGGGTTAAGAGGATTTGGAGCATGGGAAGAAGAGGATAAACAAATCAAAACTACTGCTCATGAGCTTGGCAGGATATTAATTTGAACAGATGAGATGAAAGCTAACACAAAGACAATATTGTTGTTAAAGCAGAGTGCTGGTAAATACTTACGTCAAATATAACAGTTTTGGGAAAGACAAAGACTGGAGAGAGCAGGCAGAAGTATTATACTGAGGATCCAACCTATAGAACATATAATATCTAAATGGCAATTGACAATTATTCATTTTAATTACAAAACACACGTTAGCAAAATATTTAAACCCTCAGTCCCGTAAACATTTACACACATGCTTAAACTTTAAGCATGTATTTAGTCCCACTAAAGTGATACGTATGAAATTAAACATATGGGTATGTTTGTAAGATTGAGGCTTTAGTTTTTTCTGTCACTTATGAACAAAGTTTATTGGCAAAATACCTACTATTACTAAAGTGGAATACTTAGGAATTTCAATATTTATTAAAGTCACAATCTGACTATATTACAATTTACCTCTAAAATTAATACAGGGTGGATGGATTATCTTAAATCTTTTAACTAACAGAAGTAATTGTTTTTCACTGGCATTTTAAATAGCCATGAATATGGAAGGAAGAGGTCATCATAAACTACAAAAGGACTTTGTAAGGAGAGTGATCACTTTACATAAGCTATTACCAGCAGGAGAGTGGGGTGGGGGGAGAGAAAACCTTTTGTAATGGTAAACACCCATTTTTTCATGGTTTGTGTGTATAAAAAGATCATCTGTACTTTCCACAGTATGCATCCGATGAAGTGAGCTGTAGCTCACGAAAGCTTATGCTCAAATAAATTGGTTAGTCTCTAAGGAGCCACAAGTACTTCTTTTCTTTTTACAAAAGGACTGATACTTCAGAACAGGAAATAGAAATTTACAAGAGTCCAAGACCTCTGGTTGCCTTAACTCTTAAGATAATTTACAGTAAAGGTCAGAGATCAGTTTGTTTAAAAGTTTTTCCCACCAAAAACATTTAAAAATACGAATATAGAAAAAAATTAATTATTCTATGAAATAATTATGTAGTTATATTTTCCATAGGCATAAAGTACACTGGAAGTATTTCTGATAAAGCTATGACCCTTACCCCAACCTAACCCATTCCAAAAAGAGTCAAACATGTTACCAAACAGAAGTGCATTAACAGCTCTATGTTTAGTAATAATAATTTTAGAGCATCCAAAGGCAACACTGTAGATTTATTACTTTAAACTGCATCTCTGCTATGGAAAATATAACCCAAGAGTCAAAGTATGAATTCACTTCTCTAATCAAATATGACGATAACTTGCTACAGCTACATTTAATTGGAAGCCAGAATTGACTACAAAACAAAGAAATCAGTTCTTAAAGCACTCATGCACAGAGCTCCTACCAACTCGATGTAATAAAAATTGACCACTTCTAATTGAAATGGCAACCATTGCATTAGTCACTACTTAAGCATGATCTTTTGTCATTAAATTTTTTTTTTCCTTTTAGAAGAAAACTTTTGGATGCAAGCGTGTGGGCGAGTGGATGCTATAAAGAACAGCTGAACAAATATTTCTGAGAGCTGCAAAATGAAAACTTTAGGCTGCATGACAAGTGGAAGTGTTTGTTCATGACTTGACTTTTTATTATTGTATTTTGTGACTTTCAGAGAGTAGCTTTCACAGAAAGAGTCACGGGATGAAAGCATAACCCAATTTATCACTAACCACCATCAATACCACTACCTTAGAGTAATAACGGGGAGAGGAGGAGATGAGAGCAGCTGTTTGAATTGATGGGTACTTAGCACCTCCCCTTCAAAGTTCGCCTCCCACATCCTTGACCCAGGACGTGCACAATATATTAATGGCTGCTGGCTCCCACAACTCTTTCCAACTGGGAAAAAACAGGCGCCGTATTCTCCATCTCTTTCTTTGTTACCAATTTTCCAGAATTTTTCTCTAGTGGGGGAAAATATATATTTAGACAATATAGAAAACAGGCTGTTTTAACATTTTCTTGGAGGACTGTATCCACCAAAGGAACATTCATAACCGTAAGCTTCCAAAATATTTTAGTTTGTATTTGATATGGTAAAGTTTATTGAATAGAATCATAGACTTTAAGGTCAGAAGGGACCATTACGATCATTTAGTCTAACCTCCTGCACAGCGCAAGCCACAGAATCTCACCCACCCACTCCTATAACAAACCTCTAACCTACGTCAGAGCTATTGAAGTCCTCAAATTGTGGTTTAAAGACTTGGAGGTGCAGAGAATCCTCCAGCAAGTGACCCGTGCCCCACACTGCACAGGAAGGCGAAAAACCCCCAGGCCTCTGCCAGTCTGCCCTGGAGGAAAATTCCTTCCTGACCCCAAATATGGCTATCAGCTAAACCCTGAGCATGTGGGCAAGACTCACCAGCCAGCCATCCAGGAAAGAATTCTCTGTAGTAACTCAGATCCCACCGCATCTAACATCCCATCCACAGGCCATTGGGCATATCTACCGCTAATAGTTGAAGATCAATGAATTGCCAAAATTAGGCTATCCCATCACATCACCCCTTCCATAAACTTATCAAGCTTAGTCTTGAAGCCAGATAGGTCTTTTGCCTCCCACTGCTTCCCTTGGAAGGCTGTTCCAGAACTTCACTCCTCTGTTGGTTAGAAACCTTCATCTAATTTCAAGTCTAAACTTCCTGATGACCAGTAAGTTAAACCAAAAAATCTCACCATTATAATTCAAAGTATAGAGTGATGAGATAGTTGCAGTTTAACCAAAAAGAAACCTGTTTGCTTGATACAAGTCAGTTTTCCATTATTTTTAAATTTGTACTTTACAAAGACATTGCATGCTTTCTGCATTAATTTTTACTACTTATTTTGCTTTAGCAATCAAAGTAATTTCTATGATATTTGCCTAGCCAATTGGGTCTATCTAACTAGGGTCTACACAGCAGGGCCGGTATCTTCCTTGCTGTCTCTGCTTAACTCGAAGTTTAACTGTGTCCGTTAAACTGCATGTGCAGTGTAGACACTAAATACTGTTCTGAAGAGCTGTAAATTAAAGTTTTCATTCATTTTAAAACCATGAAACCCAACCCCTAAAATCAGAAGCAAAACCAAGAAGTAAGTTAATACTGTTAAGATAATACTGCTAAGGGGTAATATCTGGTCTACAATATGTCAGTAAGTTTCTTCAGTGATGAGTATGTATGACCAGCTAAATGGTAACAATGTTGAGTGATGAAATTTACAAATAATAAATGTAAATGCTAAAGAATGATCTTTCAGCTGATCCATTTGAATCAGTTTCCAGCTTTAAGAGATGTCTTGATACTTTTGCAGTTAGTGTATAACTTACCTCTCAGTATCACACAAGTAGGAGCGAGTAAGTGAAGAAATAAGCAGTCTTCCATCCAAATAATCAAGCTGAACTACACGGGAGTCAACAGTGGTTATAATCTGAACTGGAAACATCACAAAAGCAGCAGCTGCCTAAAGGAACAAACAAAAAACAACATATACTGGGTTTAGGTCAATGTTGATAATGTTCTATAAAAACGACATTAAGAAAAAATTGCAAACTGCTGCACTCAAAGGTCAGAAAACGGCAAACTTCAAACTGTTTGTGGTTGTTCACATTAATTTAACTCTGTCCTGTGTCCAATAACGTACACCATTACTTTCCCCCTACAAATAAGACCCTGGATTTGAGAATGTTTATGTGAGTGAATAGCCCTACAGATTTCAATGGACTATCCACAAACTTTTTGGCCCGAGGGCCACATCGGGGTTGCAAAACTATATGAAGGGCCGGGTAGGGAAGGTAGTGCCCCCACGAACAGCCTGGCCCCGCCCCCTATCTTCCCCCTCCTGCTTCCCGCCCTCTGACTACCCCCCTCAGAATCCCCAACCCATCCAACCGCCCCGCTCCTTGTCCCCTGACCGCCCCCTCCCGGGACCCCCGCCCCGAACTGTCCCCCCCGGGACTCCACCCCCTATCCAACCCAGCCCTCTCCTTGTCCCATGACTGCCCCGACCCCTATCCACACCCCCGACCCCTAACAGGCTCCCTGGGACTCCCACGCCTATGCAACCCGCCCTGTTCCCCATCCCCTAACCGCCCCATCCAACCCCCCTGTTCCCTGTCTCCTGACTGCCCCACCTGCTCCTTGTCCCTTGACTGCCCAGACCCCTATCCACACCCTGCCCCCTGACAGGCCCCCTGGGACTCCCATGCCCTATCCAGCTCCCCCCTCCCATTCCCTGACTGCCCCCCCCGAACCTCCACCCCCATCCAACCGCCCCCTGCTCCCTGTCTGCCTCCCGGGACCCTCCGCCCCCTTACCATGCCGGAGCCAGCCACACCGCCCACGCTGCCCAGCAGGAGCGGCGAGCCAGAGCGTTGGCGACACATCACGATGAGACTGTGGGGGAGTGGGGACAGCAGGGGAGGGGCCGGGGACTAACCTCTCCGGCCGGGAGCTAAGGGGCCAGGCAGGATGGTCCCGCGGACCACAGTTTGCCAACCTCTGATCCACACACATACAGTTATTCACATATGTGCTTGCAAGATGGGGGCCTTGTTTATAGTGTCTTGTAATTTTTCTCCCCATCAATGTATACTTGTACTATATTCATTGTTGTACATCATAGTCCTCTCTGACTTTTTTTTTTTAGTAAGTTCTCTTTCTACATAAATGTGTCATTACCCATGTAATGCACATTTTCTTTTAAGCCTGCAATAGTCTCCCTTATTTACTAAGGTAACTTAGCTTCACATTTAATCGACCTACAAATGCCAGCAAGTTTCATCGTTACTCTGCGGCATGTTGTCTAAATACCATTTACTAAATAATTCTCACATAGATGACTTGCATTGACTGTGGGCCATACAACAAGTAGCACACACCTGGGCTCTCACTCGTGATGACACTGATGCAGCTGAACCAGGAGGCGCACAAGTGAAAAGTTCGTTACAATTCTCTAATTGTTCCATAGCCTGACTATTAAAGCTTTCGGTATTATTTAGCTTCAATGGCCAATTAACACTGTGGAGAAAGTACGTCAGAGTTTCAACAGTCCAATCCCTTCAACTGAGGGTTTAGTGCACACATTATATATTCCGGAGACATTTTACCCAGGAAAAACCAGGGAAGAATAGAGTTGACTTACTTGATATTTCTAAAATAAAACAAGCAGATTTTTTTCTTTAATACAAAGGCTTTCAGGCCTTCTTACAGTCTATATTTTATACATTATAAATAAGGTTATAGATTTGTCATGGCAGGAAAGAAGAGTCACAATAGCATGATCTTCCCACTTATCCGTAACTTTTTTCGTCCATGACTCACTCACCTCACACCATCAGCTCCTGTCCTGCAGGCCTGGGACCAGCTCCCCGCTGTGTGTGTTGCAACCAGGTGTATGGGACTGCAGCACCACTCAGGTTTGGCCTGCCCCTCTATCACAACGAAGAGGCAGCTGGGTCAAATCTGAGCAGTGCTGCAATCCTGCATGCCCTGTTGCAATGCCCAGAGTGGGGAGTTGGGACCAGCCCCACAGGATGCAGGCTCTACTGCTCCCTGTGCTCGAGGTGAGTGCAGGTTGGGCTTGCTCTGAAGCCCCCTCCCTTCCCAGGCTAGGATTAGGGTTGTGGTGTCAGAGCAAAGGGTGTTGCTGCAGCTGGTCGGTGCCCCCTCATTTGTCAGGGCACATTTTATCAAGAATCACAGAGCAGTCATAATAAAATTAGTAAAAATCACAGGCTTAGCAACTGCTCCATGATTTTTTATATAAAATGCCCTGACAAATCTGAAGCCCAAATTATAAAAAAGCAAAAAAGATAGAGGCCAGTTTTCTAAAAGTTCTTTGCAGATTTAATGCTAAATGTATTGTTCAGATCTGCCATGATATGAACCTCAAAACCCGAACTTCCACTTTACTACAAATTTCAGTTCCACTTTTGCTCTTTTTTGCAATTGTTTTGGTAACATGTTTAACTGTGGAGCTGTGACATGATTTGGGACTTTCCTTATGTAAAACTTATGAATTCTGGTTCATATTATGAAATTGCTATACCATGGAAAGTCTCAGTGTATACTGAATCAGCCATTTGATAATAGGGACTGTATTATACATGGCACAGACCTTAACTAGACAGCTATGATAGGAACATCAAGAGTCATTAACATTTTAACAGGTGTACCCTGGCCATAACAGTTACCCATATGGGGAGGCTGTGTTGCAAGAAACTAGTGTTTTCAGTCTGGACATCAGACAGGCAGTAACCAAGCAACAGCACACCTGACGGTGGATCTTGATCACCTGAAGGAAGCTTTGAGGCTGACTAGGAGAGTAACATGGCAGAGGAACTGGAAAGTTATAAATGGACACAGTGTACTCCGAGTAGCTCTCTCAGTGCACAGAACAAGGTGGCTAGATGGATCAGGAGGAAGGAAGGAGAGGAAGGTCCTGGGACCCTGAATACACTAACCAAAATCCAAACACCTCTCAGCATGGGCACTCGGGGAGGGAATTGCATAAAGGTATTTAATTTTGCCTATATCTGTTTATCTATTGTGATTTCTGAATAAAGCATGACTAGTTTAGAAAGTCCTTGTGCGTTACCTCCTTTAACTTCACATGTCCCAAATGGATTAAACTATGAACCACAACATACATGAGAATGGAGCTCTGGGGAAGGTGTGCTTAAGCTATTGGGGAGACTGGAGGGTTTGGGGGGTTAGCACTGATCCTGGAAACCAAGACTGCTCAATCACAAGGTCCCATTCCCCATAAGTGTCATCAGAGAGTTTATGCCTGGGAAGTGTGCCCGAGAAACCAGAAGCCTATCCAGAGGAGCTTAGCAGCACATGGATCCAGCATGTGGGTACAAACACAGCTGTCTGCCAAGCATCCAGTGGGAGAAGCTTAGCCAGGACTGTGACAAACTGTTTTTTGCCTTGTCTACAGGCACTATGCATGTAACTACATGCTGCAGTGAAAGAAGGCTGCGTGCACACTTGTCACTGAAGTGTGTAGCAAGACATGACAGTCAGAAGTTCTGGCGGGGCGACAGCAAGGAAAGTCTCGGGCGGGGGGGGAGGGGAGGAGTTTCCCTGCTGCCTCCCCCATACCAGAGCCTTTCTCCATTGCAGAGTCTTTCCCCGTGGCAGGGAATGGACTCTGACACTACACTGTTAAAAACAGCAGTGTAGACATAGGAGGCAATGCTTGAACATGTAGAGAGCTACGTAAAATATATACTCATGTGTTTAGCAATGGAGGGCACTCTACTCACCTAAGACATGTCTACACTGCTATTTATACCTGTGCTAGCTGGGCGTGCTGTGCCTGTATTCTATATGCCGCTGTAAGTGTAGACAATTACTTAATATCATCCTGTACAGTGATGGACTCATTCTACAATTAAGCAGAAGTACCATAATAAGTGGTGCATCCATCTTTTGATTACTTAAGACTATTTGACGTAACCGCCAAGACAGAAATTATGGATTTAAGCTCAGACTTCTAAAAAGGAGTTGCATCACTGTGCAAAAAATCCACCCTGAACTCAATGTCTGTTAAAAGTGGTAAATCGTACCTCCAAATTGAATGCTAATGTATTTTAGAATATTTACATTATATTGCCACTTGCTGGATTAGCTACATATACAGTCAAGAATTGAAGCAAACATTTATACCAGTATCTAGTTCATCACTCCTGTCTAGTCACTAAAACGAGCAGAACTTAATTTGCTAGTGAATTCTTTCCCCCACCCTGATTTTACAAACAAACATGGACACATTGAATCTGTGTGTCTGTCTGTTGGAATCTCCTCTCATTGTAAAGAAAATGGGTAACATTTTACCTTCCCTTGTTTGGATGTATTAATCTTGATAGCAGACACTTTTCCCACATGATCTCCTACAAAAACTCGAAGTGCGGCTGTATCCCAACAAAGAGATGTGACTTTTTTGCCTTTGTGCTCAGTGGAAACATAAATCCGCTCTGGCTTTCCACGACGCTCCTGATTGAGTTCCCAGACAACTACAAGGCCTTGACTGTAACAGTTAGGAGATTAACATTTTTAAGAGAACTGATCTTTTGAAAGTGACTATCATTTATACTAGTAGTAAAGAAGTGCTGCTTGCAGAAAGAGGCAAGCAAAGAATACATTTTGATATAATAATGCTGTGTTTGAATGCTGTACATATGAAAATTACGAGGTTGACCATTCTGAAAAATAAAGTGCTACATTTATCCAAAGATACAAGCTTCCACACACCAACCTACCAACGTACATCAGCCCTGACCTGGAGGGTTGCTCACTCAAACCTGGGCCTCTGTTCTGAAACTGCCAATAAAGGTGTCTGTTGTGAACTAAATAAATGTAACTAACTGGAATTTCAACGTATAAATGTTTTAGCTACCCATTTCACTTTATCAGGTCAGCAAACACACTTTCACCGTGCCACTGAAATGTCTCAGGCCTTAGCTAACAGGGAAATTGACCAACATGGCTACTGTGGAATACACTCCAGCAGAGAAGATGCTTTATAGCCTTGGGGCAGGAAGGGAAAAATTAATTAAATCGAATTTCTCACCTGGTGGCAACAGCAACATAATCTTCATCATGTAAACAACAGGCAACCCGGGAAATGGCACCTTCCTGATGCAAGAAAGACCAGTCAAGTGATGAAGTGAATATAGTTCCAAGTGCAGTAGTAAAGTTAGTTCTCATTACTACATTTAGTTATAGACAGTTCTTATCCTCTACCTGAGAACTACAAGAGATGAAAGTCAGTCTTCATAGCTGCTTTGAGTGCTCTCGGATCCTTTGCCTTCTCTTCACTTTTTTTTTTTTTTTTAAGTGGAACTTACTGGTTGTGAAAAACGTCCAACTGACAGTCCTGGAGACTGAAGCCTTATGTTTATCCATTGAAGAAGAACATAGGTAGTAGCAATGAAAATTATTTCATCTGACATAGTCTACGCAACGTCTTAAAATCTGGACTAAAGGAACCAGCTCCATGAGTGACAAGGGTTCAGTTTCCAAACCCATTCAATTCTGCCAGTGACGAGGGTTGTTTTCAGAATACAAACAGCAATGCACAAGGAACCAAAATGAGTTTGTGGTTTCAATTCACCAACTATTGTTAGACTGTAAAGATCTCTGATCACGACTGATCTGTATTGGATTCTAAACTGATGAACTCAACGCAAAAGGCTTCATAACGAATTACCAATCGTCAGTGTAACTGAGTCCAACTGACAGCCTATTTTGGCCCAGTGAAAAAGACAGTCTCCTGCACATGGAAGTTAAGTATACCATTTGTATTAGATAGCATCCTCTTCACTCTGTGCTTCAAGTAACAAAGGGGAGCTTTCATGTGGCCCTTGAGCCAACTGGAAATCTGTGGTTATATTTTTAAATAATTGTACACAACTCAAGTTTAAAGGTAAAGTTTTGAAAAGTAACCAAATAAGGGGGAAATCCTGGCATACACAAGTACACAAGGATACCAATAAAGGCATAATCATATCTAAAAAAATGCTGCCAATCATGTCTGTCTCAAGGCAAGCACGGTGTTAGCACTTGGACAAGTGAAAGGAGATACATTTACAAGAAGACCAACACAACAGAAATTTTTGTAATAGAGGTGCCTCCAAATCATTTGGTTGACAAGGACCTTTACTGATCCCATCACCAGCATCAAAGCAGTTTTAATTCTGTACTTTTTTAGAAATCAAGACTTGTAAATAAACAAAACCTTTATTCATCCATCATCCCCCCCACAACAGTGAAAAATGAAACAGACCATTTGATATACTAATAATGCAGAGATTGCAAAACACAGTCTCAGCTTTTTGAAAGCTGATCCCCCTTCCTCCGCACAGGAAAATTAAATCCATCATTCTCTGCCTCCAATCCTGCCACGTGTTGTTAAAAGCCAACAATCCTTTAAAAATCCTAATTTATATATCTTCAACACCTCCTCCAGCCCAAGTTAGTCCTTTACATATGCCACCAACTTTGGGGAACACAAGAAAGGAAGTATATTCTGAAGATCTATTCCAGTCTTACGTGCGTTGAGCACGGTAATAGCGTTGAGCACGGTTTTAGTCACGGGTATTTTTACTAAAAGTCATGGATAGGTCAGGGGCAGTAAACAAAAATTCACTGCCCGTGACCTGTTCATGACTTGTACTATACCCCTGTCTAAATATTGAGAGTGCCATGGGTGCTACAGGGGGGAGCGGTCAAGGGAGCGTCGCAATTGCACATGCTGGGGGAGTGGTCCGGGGGGTGCCGCGAGTGCTGGCGGGCCCGGGACCCCCACTGGTGCTGGCAGGCTCCCTACCCAGCTTCTGGGATGCAGCGACATGTCCCTCCCTAAGTTCCTAGCTCTGCGCGCTGCCAGCTCTGCAGCTCCCATTGGCCAGGAACAGCAGCCAATGGGAGCTGCAGGGGCAGTGCCTGCGGGCGGAGGCAGCAAGTAGAGTGAGGAGCTGAGAGGGAGGGACATGTTACCATTTCTGGGGAGCCCCCCACAAGATAAGCGCTGCCCCTCCCGCACCTCTAGCCCCAGCCCTAAGCTCGCCATCCAAAATCCTTCTGCTGCGGGGGCAGTGGCCTGAGACTGCCCCAGCAGGGGCTGGTGCAACTGGTCCAGGGGCTGCCTGAGCTGATCAGGCAGCCCCGGAGCCAGCCACACCAGCCACTGCAGAAGTCACAGAATCTGTGACTTCCGTGACAAACTCGCAGCCTTAGTAATAGCTAACAGTGTTAATATATAGAGAATCATCATTGGCGTTTGAGTTAACACCCATTGAAATGACTGAGGCAATTCACAGCTAGAGTTATTGTTTCAGGTTCACTGCAAATTTAGGTAGATATCTCCAAACTGGTTATGCTGACTTCACATAAGATTTGAAGATTTTCTTTTGAACATAAGAGAGAGAGAGAGAGAGAGAGAGAGAGACGTGTTTAAAAAAGGAAAGCTATGAGTCTGGAGAACAACTGAGCAGACTATGCACCCTTTCAGGCTACTCTTCCTTCAAACCCCCACACTTTGCAAAGCGCTATTTTTGCAAACAATCATCTCTCTCTTCAAACACAAGTAGTGAAAAAATTCAGCTTATTTGGATAATTCAACAGGCTGTACATTCCTGGGACTTTAATATGAATATACCATTTCCCCACTTCTGTAATTGAAATATTGCCCTTCCTGAGGTTTTTGCACAATTCTAACCTTACCTTATGAGTGAGGAACAGCCTCTGTTTCCAACCATCTTTTTGAATCAGGTTTAATCCCCCTCCTGAACTGCCCAGAGCCAGCCATTTCCGAGACACAGCTATACATGTGCACTGAAAAAATTATGACACAGGACACTGTAGCTACTTAAACATAAATTCCCTGATAATGGCATCTCATTTGTCCTTTATTTGTTAAAAACAAAAGCTTTGACAATGAACCTATTCTATGCCTGCCGCTCATCTCCCCCTCCCTTCCCCCCTCAAGGTATGCAACAGCAAGGCCAGGTTGTCAGAGAAGTGAAACCAATGCATTCAAAGAGCGGAGTCAACAGCAAAAGCAAACAAGCTCTTGAAGACTGTTTTCCTGCAAATATATTTAGTGATAAAGGACACAGAAAAAGACAAATTCAGGTTTTTTCATAAGCTGTTTGAGCACTTTAAACCTTGTTAGACGATATTTTTTAAACAAGGGCAAAACTTATTTTCTTTTGATGGATCTGCCATCATACCCAATAAGCACAGATCAAAGCGTAGAACAGTTTGCTATGAAGTTGTACATCGGAATAAGGTATCATCCACTTAAAGTTTAACCAAACATCCGATTTCATGGGCTGACCAAAAAATAAACCTTAAATCATAATACAAATGTTTTAATTCAAATTAAGTGACTATGCACTTAGAGGCTTTGGGGGTAAATATTGCATTTTTCCTGGAACTGACTAATCTATTCTCAAAGTACCTTATATTCGTAATTTGCTTCAAAAACAGAATTAAACAGCAAATTACTCTGACTTTAAGAATGGGCAAGCAACATTTTTAAAGATACATGCAAGATTTTTCTATTTATTTCATTACAGACAAGAGAAGATCCATCTTTGTTTGCTCTACACTGCTCTTAACTGTTCTTCCAAGAAGCCACTGTTCTCGACCATGCAGCTGACAGTAATAAAACTGGACCCAAGCTTTAAGTAGCAAACACCAAGTCATAATCTGCAAATTGCATAATAGCTTCTAGAGCTATACAAATCAAAGCAATTTTATGCAGTCATTCACCAAGCAGTAGCATGACAAAAATATTGACTTCTGTGTCTGAAAAACAAGAAGCAACAAAGCAAAAAATGCAACAAGCAAGAACCAAACTTACCTTCAGACGGCTAGAATCCAACCTGAGTGCAGAAAGCAATGGATCCAAACACTCAAGTTCTGCCAATACATGGCTGTAAGATTCTGGTATCATTGGCACAGATGTCATTGAGTTAAGAAAGCCTGGCAATACTCAATCATTGGTGCATTATTTACTTCAGCTTCTAGCTGTACCTGCAGAAGTTAAATTTAAGAATATAATCCCTTTCTTGAGCTGTTACAATTTGCTTTCTAGCCCCACCTTTGTTCTTTAAGAACTAGTCTAAAGTTAAAAGTTTGCTCACATAACTATGTCACTTAGGAAAATGGGATGGAGGGGGAGAGGGGAAACACCCCTAACCTAATATAGCCTGATAGCAAACACGAGTATAGCAGTTTATTATATACAGTATATACAGTTTATTTTGTTCAGAGAACTGGTATAAGCCATACTGACAAAAGAAATCTTTTGCTGGTATAAACTTTGCCTACACAAGGAGGATTAGCTGGTATAGCTATACAGGGAAACCCTTTTTAATGGGGACAAAGACTTAAGACTGCTCATAAAGATAAAAAAGGCGGGGGGGGGGGATCTAACAGGCTGCAGGCTTGATCCTGCAACTGGACCCATACAAGCATAAGGATCCTCCTACATGGATCCGACTACAAGGGCAGGGCCCTAGTTTGTTTTGTCTATGAACTTACACTGGAAATGTTAGTCTGTTGGATGAGCTACAATTTGATTATTCCTAAAGGTAAATATCTGATGGGTTTACAGTCTCCTGTGCAATCTAAGCCCAGCCCATAGACTCAAACTGCATTGATTGAGCTAAAAATCAATTTTGAAGATCAATCTGGTTAAACCAGTGTAAATCACTGCATTGCCACACTTAAAATTGATATTACATGTAAAATATGTTGTTAAAATATGAATGTTACAATATCAAGCACTCAAAAGTTAAACAATACCAAAACCAAGGTAGTCCATTCAACCTTAATTCAGCCTCCTTGTACGTCGTTAGGGTGTATCATAGTGCATGTGCACAACAGTTTCCACAGGACCCATCATTCATGCACTGAATGGGATAGCTATTCAATATTTTTATCTTCACCATCAGGGTGGGGCCCCATGCATTATTTCCTGCACATCATCCAAACCTTGCACTGAATACAAAATTGGCAGTTTCCTCACAAGCTTTATCAAAACAAAAACAACATACCATATTTTTTTTATACTGACCACTCTACATATCATTAGGGTCGGGGGGAAGGGAGGCGCGCATTTTTAGCTCCACAGCACAGACTTCTACCACTTAACTGGCAGTAGCAGCAGACTTATTTACTGAGGACCAGTCACTAGAAGGATAAGACACATACTTTGACAGCGAGTTTCAAAGATATTTGCTGACAACAAAGTAACACTGGGACTTCTGGAATTCTTAAGTCCGTTCCAGGATATGGACGGGAGCATCTCTAGTGGTTACAGACTAAGATATTTGATGCTGTTCACATGTTTTAGGGGAGATTTGGCCTAATAAACAAAATACTCTAATCCCACTCTAGTACATACAGTAGCAGATTGAATCCACACTTCCCCAAATACGGTTCAGGGAGTGTACCCTTGTACAAATCACACCACCCAAGCCTAGAAAAGGATCTTTTTCTCCCCTCTGCCACAGGCTTTTGACAACTGTTGGAAGGGGCTTTGCCATTCCTCCCCTCCTTCAGGCTCTTCTGAGGAATGGGTGGGGAGCTCCCCAACTTTTTTTGTAGATCCTCTTCCCTCTTCCCTCCAGTACTCATGTCTACCACCCACAGTTTCCTCAAGCTGTTGCCTGAAAGTGACATGTTCCTTCATTGCTGCCACAGGAAGCTAAATACCAGAGTCAGCCCCTGGCTTTCCCAAGGAGTAGCAGTGCCACTAGCGCTGTCTGCCTGCAGACTCAGGTCCATCAGGGTCATCTTCTTCCCCGCGCGTACGTTTCACCCACGTGTACGTTCACTTTTAAGCTCAGATTGCAAACACTTTGGGCAACAGGGCCAGGACCTGGCTGGGGAGACTCTCCCGGCTGCCACTCATACTAGCGATGACAACACGGAGCCGCCAGGACGCGAAACCGAGAAGTTATTTCAACGTGCAGGCTCCCAGTTTGCAGAGGGAAAGGAGTACTTGTGGCACCTTAGAGACTAACCAATTTATTTGAGCATTTATTTGAGTTTATTTAAACTCACTTACTAGCAGGAGAGTGAGTTTGTGTGTGTGGTTTTTGGAGGGGGGTGAGGGAGTGAGAAAACCTGGATTTGTGCTGGAAATGGCCCAACTTGATGATCACTTTAGATAAGCTATTACCAGCAGGACAGTGGGGTGGGAGGAGGTATTGTTTCATGGTCTCTGTGTGTATATAAAGTCTGCTGCAGTTTCCACGGTATGCATCCGATGAAGTGAGCTGTAGCTCACGAAAGCTTATGCTCAAATAAATTGGTTAGTCTCTAAGGTGCCACAAGTACTCCTTTTCAGTTTGCAGAGGGTGGCTCTCGCCCTCTGGGGGTTGCTGGCGGTGCAGTGCTCGCTGTGGCAGCCAGGGGAGGGAGCCGGGGAGCACGACAGCCCCTGCGAGAGCCAGCACTGCCTAGGCAGAGCAGCTGGGCGCCAGTCACACCGCGGCACCGGGCCAGCGGGAGGCAGGAAACGGATGGGACCCACCCACTGCACGATGCTTGGGCCCCAGCGCTGCTGCTGCCCAGACCCTGGCCCAGCTCCCCGCGCGGACACTCACCCACCGAACTCCAACCTGGCCAGCCCCGTCAGCTGCTTTCTCCGGCCCCGCCCCCACGGCACGCGATCCTTCCCCAGCCTACCTGAAACACGTCAGCTCGCGCGCGCGCCCGCAAAAAAGTGCGTCACGCGCACACAACTTCTCCCCCGCCCGTCACGTGACGGTTACGCTCTTTTCACCCCTCCCCCCTCGGGCGGTTGCCTAGGGAAGTCCCCGCCCCCCCTCAGCGCCGCGGTACCCCGGAGCGGAACAGACAGGACCGAACAGGCGGAACGAAAGGGACGGAGCCGGACTCCTCGCTCTTCGGGGCCGGGTGACCGGGATGGGAGGGATCGGACGGTGGCAGCCGCGTTGTTGGTACCTGGTCACCACCCCCTCCCGCGCACTGTCATGGCGACGGGAGGGGGAAGGGAGAAACCATCACGTGATGCAGGATTGTGATGGTGGCGGGGAGAACCTGTCATGTGACCGGGAGGTGTCATGGCGACACCAGTCTCCCCCGTCACGTGACCCGGTCTCCCTCTGTGCGTCGCGGGACTTTAGCTAGTTCCGGTCACGTGCCCTTGCTGACCAGTTTGGCCGCCCCATGGAAGAGGAGGCGGCGAGACCCCCCGAGTAGCGGCACCGGCAGCGGCTGGAGTCAGTGCCCAGCGCCACCCGCCCTCTCATCCCGCCGCGCCCGCACCCGGCGGCAGCAACAGCCAGCGGCGGCCTGGGGCCTGAGCAGCCGCCCGCACGGTAGGAGTCTGGACGGTGTCCAGGGGCTCGGCGGAGTCTCCCGGGCGGGCTGGGGCAGCGGGGCTGCTCCCCAGGCGGGGGCTCGTGTCTGTGCGGGAGGGGAGGGGATGGGCCGGGCCGGGGTCCCTGTGCTGGCTCCTGGCGGGGAGCGAGGCACCTGCGAGCCGGCGTTGACAGCCCGAGAGCACAACGCGTTCCGGCCGCCTCCGGCCCCCGCTGCTCCGGGCTCCCCAGCTATCGCCGGGCGAGGGCGGCTCGGCTTGTCCTGCCCTGGCCGGGGGAAGAGGCGGATTTATTGACACACGCGGTGTGCTCGGACGTGGGGGAGGGCGTGCAGCCGGGTTGAGGGAATGACAGGGCAAGCTGGGCGGGAGAGGACCCAGGGGCGCGTGGTGGCAGGAACATGTTCCTCTCTCTGAGGTGGGACTGATCCAGCAGTGTGTAACGTGTGGGAATGTTGCCCTGCTGACCCTGTGCCCTTCCAAATGAGGTAAAACCAAGGTCCTGCTCGTGTGTTTGTTAAAGATAAAAAAATGCCATTGTGTAATGATCAGGATTTGATGCCTGATGGTCTGGTTGCAACCCAGCTCAGATAATCATGCTGTGCTTCCCTAAAGTATATACCTTGATCACGCAAGCTGCTTTATGCAGGTGGACTTCTGCGCCTCTGCAGAACCCCATGTGGGTGTGAACGTCTGCTTGTGTGGAGCAGCTCGTAGGATCAAGGTTTAGGTTATAGTTCTGTAAATAGTTGTGAGGCTTACCTCCTCCCTCCCTACATTTTCTTTTCCTTAAAAGAATCAGCCTCCCATTTGAGACCCTGTTGCCACGTGTTTTGACTGAGGTGGGTCTGCTCACGTCTCCGTGTGCTGCTGCTAGCCCAGTTGACCCTGGTCACCACTCCGTGCTCTGTGCTGTTTCTGCTGATAAAAGCACCCCTGTGCAGAAGCACAGATGGCATCAACAGATTGGGTGATCTTTTTCTGTTTGGTGTATACATGAGACACTGAAACTTGGGAAAGGGAGGGATAAAACTGGAACAAAAGGTTAAGGAAGGAGAGAGATGGAAATGTCACCAGTAATTGTCTATTGTTCAGCATTGCTGTCTTGCCATAAAATCCAAGATAGCGAGAAGTACCAAAGAGGGCAGGAAACTACGGTATTCCTTTTACTTGTGACCTTGAAACTGTAGTTGAAATGAAACTTCAAGATTCAGAGGTTTGATATTGGGAAATTTAGCTGGAGATTACAGCCATTAGGCCTATATACAAAGTAATTTAAAGGCAAAGAAATGATAGCACCACTCTCCCTTTTCCAAAATCTAAAAGAAAATTCCACCGATTTAAAAAGTGGTGGCATCTGACACGCATTCACATCTTAGTTTTCTCTCTCACTTAAGCAAATAATGTGTTGTTTCTTCTAGTCTAACTGCAACTAAAATTTTTACTACATTAGACCACAGAAGCTTCTAACCATGCCAGGGGTTCAGACTTATTGTGTAGACAGGCCAAAACATAAGTTCCAGAGTTCTTCAGCTTGTTGCCTTGCTTGCCTAATAAGAACAACTTGTTGTGCTCTACCCTTCCTTACAGTAAAATGACAGATGAGCTCCCTTTCTTGTCCACCTGTCATAGAAGCCTAGGACCATTTCAAAACCCATTTTTGTCTCAGCCAAATCAGGACTATTAGCAGGGGTACTGGAGGCCTCTCTTCAAATCTCACTTGCCAAAGCAATCCATGTGGGAGGGGAATAGGCAAGATCCCCTGGTGCCACTATGTTACTTGGCTACTCTAGAAGGAGCAGAGAAAAGGAATGGTAGGGGAGAGCTAATTAAAGAGAAACAAAGAAGCCAGGCAGGTGGCTTAAAAGTAGCTGCTAGCTTGTCTCTGCCTGACTTAATCCACCAACTAGGGAAATGAAAGTGGGTATGTTGAAGATCCTTTTCCCCACTACTGCGGTCCAATTTTTGCTGGACTCTTCCCATGCTGCATTTACCCCCCCCTTCCCAATTTCATGGGGAATATTCAGAAATGGGCTGGGAAATAAACAACCCTTGCAGCTCAGTCTTCCTTTGTTTTCATTTTTTTAACACACCACTTATGCTGCAGGATGAGTGGTGTCAGTAGTCATGTACAGCTGAAAGTGTCAGTCCTGGGAGAAGTTTTGTGCCTCCTCCATGGAGTCCTACCCACAAGTTGGAACCACTGATTTATCTACATGCTTTTTGAAAATATTACCTATTTTATTATTTCAAAGGCCCTGTTGCAGAACACAAATGTTCAACAACATAACCTCATGTTTCATAGATAAGTTACTATCAGAGATACATGTCTATGCAAAGCAGCGAAAACCTGTGTCTAACAAGTTGTCTTTTCATATTGCTTAGTACTTGGCATGTAAAGTCCA